AGAGAGAAGGGGAGACAATAAAGGTTGTGCAGGGTACAGTAGACCACACCCCCACTACAGTACAGTGGAACCCATCTCTAAGACACCTTGTCTTTCCCCGAGAACAGTTCTTCCAACCCTTGAAATAAGGACACCTCATTTACATGGACACGTTCTTCTGTCCCATTGGTGTCCAGATTAGAGAGGGGTTCCAGAGTACAAAGTCCGTAGTCCCCCTCATTCACCCTTTCCCCTACTTGCAGTCTTCCATCCAGACTCCGCGGGATGTTCACACAGCCAGTGGGTGTGGCTCCGTTGCTAGTTATCGCCTTCTCCAGCTCCTGCAGACCTCCTGTTCGTATATACAATATAACATAATAAATAGCACCAGGAAACTAAAAGCACCAATCTCTTGTAGGAGCGATTATATAAATGAACGAATTTTCGCATGGAATATTCGAGGCACGTATATACATAATTTAGGTTTTTCAGAGCTAAATAAGGGCTTGTATGTAGCACATGTGTATGTGTAAGTGTCTAATAGACAGGGGTTATCATTCAGTGTGTATAAGATAGGGCACAGTGCAAGAAGCTGTGCAGACCACCTGTTTATGTATAATTATAGGTGAGTGGGAATAAACACAGAATTATTTGTTTAGCACATTAGTAGCACATGTGTATAATGTTATGTGCACCAAACAGGGATTGTCATTGATGGCCTAAAGGCTGGCCTGAGCCAGGAGCTAACCTTTTTACCTGATTTGTAGGAAGGCAGAAAGAGACAGCCCCCCAAAGACAACTACAAGTAAACAAGACCCTGGTACAAGTAGATAGGGTTTTGAAATTCAAACCAGTGAGTTGTTTCGGGCTACACGAGTACTTACACGTACTTGTCCTGTAATCTTGTAAAGTCTACCCGTGGCTACGGAACATACTCTACAGATTTAACAGCTCTAGTGTACATACTTACAAGTAGACGAGGTAGCGAAATGAAATACCTACCCATGCAGCTAGGGTGACGGGCTAACGAGCGTCGTTTTCGGGCTTGTAAGTCGGCCAAAAAACAATTCTAGTGTGTGGAGAAGACTGAACGCACGCACAAAGGGCCTAGCTACACAAAACAGAACGCGTCTGCCACGCGACTCACCGGTCCTCTTTAGCTTCTTGACGAGGGATTTGACGGCCTTCTCCGACCACTTCTCCTCGTCTCCCACTTCGTCGGGCGTCTTCTTGTAGCTGAGCAGGCGCTTTATGATGGGCGGTTGACTCATCGGCAGCATGGCGCTTCTCCCTCGCTCTCCCTATATCTCTCTTCTTAAAAAAAACTCGTTCAGATTTGCTGCTTGTTCCGGTGGCAGAAAATATATTATCCTCTCCTGAGGACTTGAAACCCCGCGGCGCCAAGTCTCCGGATGATTTCCGGTTGATTTCCGGTTGAACCCAATAGTGGGCGTTGAATGCAGCAATAATGCACTGCCTGCTCAGCCACCTACGTATATATATACATGTTCCTTGGAGCCAGGGGCGAGACACACATCACTAAGAGATTTGTACCACACAAAACCCCAAAAGAACAGTCACTAATTACAAACACTGATGACTTATTACTACAGGGTGGAGTATACTTAGGGCCCTCATAAGCTCCTGTCACAGTGTACTGGACTATCGATGTATAAAGGAGTTCCTAAAGCAGGAAAAAAGATTTTTTGTGGTGGACAAATGTGGCGTGCATAGGTGTAGTTGTTATGCCTTTGCCTTTCTACCTCATAGTTTTCACATGCACAGTAGTTGCCGTATTATGCCGGTGTGGCTATTATAGGAAAGTTAACAAACCGCGACATTTACTCCCTGTATTGGGGTCGAAACATCGGCATTTTTGGCTAGAGTTTAGAGATGTTTTGGGAGGTATTCAGGAGGAAGCTCCCCCTGTTGATGAGACCATGAAAACTGAACAGCTCACGCTATACACATACATTGAAAGAAAGAAAAAGGGACCAAAAAACAGGATTTCAGAAGGGCTACAGCACACATATTATATACAACCATAAGGGCTTACTTGGGACTCGCAAAAGCACGTGAGCTGATGCACCAAAGTTTTTTTGTTTGCTCTTATGACAGGATATAGAAACACCATAGCGTGCATAATATAATGTATAACACAAAAAAGGGTAAGAAATTTTTGTTCACACGAGCTATATTATTATGCTACTGAGGTTTCAGTCCTCGAATGGTGATGTCATAGACCACGCCCTCCACTTTCTTAACGTCGTATTTGAGAGCATCGAATTTCTTCCTCAAATTGTCGTTCTTGAGATTCAGGAGACGGAACCCTGCACTGAGCTCCACGAGGAAGAGGGAGATGGTGAAAGGACGCTGGTAGTCGCCCTGGGTTACACTGTTAACAGCCAGTCGAGACTAGAGTGGAGAAAGATTTTAAAACACTTAAAACTTCAGGGCTCTTTTGTAACTAACTAAACTAAAAAGATCACCGCCGTGTGTGGTGAATAGAGATACTCACCAGCTCAGAGGCCATGGTGAGTAGTCCCTGCAGAAAGTCCTCTAGGTCCAGGTGAAACCCCTCCTCCTGGGAACTGCAGACTGAATAAATACTGTAAACCAGCAATTTTCCACTCTACTTATGCCCAAACCCCAAAGCTTACGATTTACGAACACAGAATGGAATATGTACAGTGGTGACATCTCCGATAAGGGAACCCTCCGAGATAAGGACAACCTCTCTACAAAGGACACTTGCCCATGCTAATAATATTTGACCTCTGAGGTAGGGACGACCTCTCTACAAAGGACACCTGTTTCAACCCCATGCTAAGACTTTAGTGTATTATTTGACCTCCGAGATAGGGACGACCTCTCTACAAAGGACACTTGTTTCAACCCCATGCTAATACTTTAGTGTATTATTCGACCTCCGAAATAGGGACGACCTCTCTACAAAGGACACTTGTTTCAACCCCATGCTAATACTTTAGTGTATTATTTGACCTCCGAGATAGGGACGACCTCTCTACAAAGGACACTTGTTTCAACCCCATGCTAATACTTTAGTGTATTATTCGACCTCCGAAATAGGGACGACCTCTCTACATAGGACACTTGTTTCAACCCCATGCTAATACTTTAGTGTATTATTCGACCTCCGAAATAGGGACGATCTCTCTACAAAGGACACTTGCTTGTCCCTTGTTCTGAGAAGCCCCCTGAAACGAAGACACCTCTCTAGACAGTTTCTTTCCCCAAGAAAAGTTTCTTGCATGATATTTATCCCCCAAAAAAGGATATCCCACTATTACATGTACTACTGGTGTTGGAATTATACAGGCACTATAACACTATGGAAAATACGGTAATTATGGATTCTGTCCCTATAATAGTGTGGCGGGATTATAAGTCAGGCAATAAAATGGGTGTGGGTTTACAGACGGAGATAACATCCCTGCAACACCAAATTCATCATCCACAGTTAGCATGTGACATATATTGCAGCTGGCCACATCGGCTGGTGTGCGCTGCAATAGCAGTTAGTTTATAATTGCACATTGCATATTATGCGGGCAGAATTGGCACAAGCCACGCCAACTTTTATATGCATATAGGGTACAGATTAGAGTAGAGTACCATTATATATACTAACTTTCAAGCTCTTTGCCGAAAATCAAGCAAAAATACCACTAGAAATCCCCAAATCCCTCTTTGTTTTGTGTGAACTTGGATGTGTTACATCTTGCCTATACATCGTGAAGGGGTCCGCAGCAAAATTAATATCAAACCAGGTGATTTACACCATTTTCACGACTTGCTTTTTCACTCTTTTATGGTCCCCAACATCATAATGGCTAATGTTACTAAACCAAAGGGCCCAGTGAAATGTTATTTATTTACGTTTTTAGTGACGTTTGTAAATTTAACCCCACTGCTTCATTTCCTTAGACTCACTGCCTAGGAGGTGGGCGACTTCAGCCCTGGTGGCCAGCCTGCCTGACTCCAGGTAGACCAGGAGAGAGACGAGAAACGAGAGCCTCTGGGTTACAAACCTCCAGTAGTCGTGGTAGCTGCACAATAAACCAGGGACAATAATGAGCAGAGCAAAGAGAGAGGTATATACTGTGCTCTTTGTCCAGATTCTACAACAGTCAAAGATGCACGCAGGACTTTGAAAGGTAGCACAAAGGATTATACGTAGTCTGCTACCAGTAAGTTTTACACTGGTAACATGTACATCAATGCAGAACTATTATTAATATTGACAGAGCCTTCTTTATAAAGGTGTTTCCAAAATGTTAGCTGCATGTGTATGTGTACATACTACAGTACCCCTGTAGATGCTACTCCATGTACCAATGGTGTGGTACCCTGTGTGTCAATTTTGGCTACAATGAGTTTAAAACAATTTCTCCCTCAATCAATTTTGTTTGGTGTGGTGGACTATGTATATAAATTGCTACAGCCATACCACAACTACCAACTGACCAAGGACAATAACCACTTAGTTTTCACGCCGTACTTATCTCCCGAATGCAGCAGAGAAAACTACACATATTATACATATTCTGATGTTTATCCGACGCTGAATACATGGTATTGTTTGTGGAGCGATTGATGGCTCGTGAAGTGAGATAGCTCGCAGACAGACACACACAACAACTACAATAACCCTCGCTGCGCATGCACCCCGAGGGTTAACCATCAACTGACCGATAGTACTGGTTCTTAGGAACAAGTTTCTGAAGGTCTGAATACTTCTCTGCAACTGTACTCATTAGTTCCCTCATCTTCTTACACAATGGCTGCACTGTGGGGAGAGGGAGGGAGAGAGAGAGAGAGACTGGTTACAATCATGCATTTGGTAAAGAAAGAGAGGAGGAAAGGTAAATTGATAGTCGTAAACTGACAGACAACACACTAAGTACGGTAATGTGTGCTGAGGGTTAATGAAGAATAAGCAGAAAGAACGCAAGTAATAATAGACCGAAATAGTAACAAAAAAAAGTGACACACACTAACCAACCATCATCAGAATGACACTGGTGGACCGTCTCCATGGTAATGAGGATGCCCCTGGCATCTTGCTCTAAACGCTTCACACACTCACGAATGCTCTGAAAACACGTCAAAGCGCCGTCTTTGATATCATCCAATGCGGCACAAACAAGAATACTATGAATTCTTGGCCCTTGCTCACAATGTAAATGTATAACTGAGCACTGTACTACTGTCTACTCGACCATATTACAACAGTCAGATCGTAGCTATACCTCTTTTCTCTCGCTATCTTCACTAAAGGCAACTTGCACAGCAGCAAACAGCTGCATAACCTTCTCCCTCTCCCTCCAATCCTCTCCTTCCTCGTCTCCCCCACCACCTCCCGCCTCTACCACTTCTTGAGTCTCACTCATCACATAACACGTGACACCTTCAACCTTTGAACCCCGCCACGTGTGTATAAAGGGAGAGAACTAATAACTATGCCGCCTAAACTGATGAGCGTCCATGCGTGTTTCCAACCAACAAAAGGCGACGGGGGAACTGTATAAGAAAAGTGCAGCGCGTTCTAGCGGCGGGAAGCAACGAAACGAGACCGCATGCTCTTACAGGTTTCCATTTTATTATATTTAGCCTGCAGCGTTCCCTTTGGTTTCTCCTGGAAGAAAAATTAGCAACTTACATGGCTTTTTATTTGATATACATAAGGAGCTATCCGTGGTGTCCAAAGAGTTTTAAGGTTGAGTGCGATATTCTCCAGGAAGGAAAGCTAGACTCTTTATGCTTGTCATGTGACTTTCATGTGACTTTCATGTGACTGTTGTTGTGACTCCTCTCTCTCTCTCTCTCTCTCTCTCTTTCTCTCTCGTCCTTTCGCACGTGGTTGCGGTATGCACATGCGCAGTTGCTGTCAATGGTACAGGTAGGTGTGGTAAAGTTGTCAGTGTTTCATCTCTCCTTGTCTATCTTTTTTGTTATGAGAGTGATAACTGCGCATGCGCATTAAAACCGTACGATCACGCGCGGACACGTACGATTGGTTACCATGGCAGTCAGTAGCCTGAGGGCAAGCAGTGGTGTAGTAGTTGTAGTGTTGTCTCTTCCAAAATAAGAAAGTGTAGGCTGTAGTCAGGTAGCGAGAGAGTCGGTAGTCGGAGAGAGTGGCCAAAGCCCCTGAGGACGAGCGCTAGCTCCTCCAGCCATGGCCTCCCCCTCGTCTCCCGACTTCCACGACAAGAAATGTGAGCAGATTCCCTTCTCTACTTCTTTCTACTATTTTTAGTAGATAGGTTCTGAACTAAAAATATCCATAGCCAAATAAGGAATTTCAAAACTACATTTTCCGCCCACAGAATTGTTTCGTGAGAAAGGGGTTAAATTTTGGTTTGCTGTGTTGTAGTGCGCAAAGGGTTAATTTTATAGCATAGTAAGGAGAGAGGGTTAAATGTCCTGTGGTTGTCTCTGGTGTGTAGATATGATGTTCACCAGAAACAATGTCCAGAGAGCTGTCAGGAACGTGAGGGAGACTGATGATCTGGGGTTCTATTTGGGTGTCCCTGGGAGGAGACGGGAGGGAATTGAGAGACAGTTCAGAGGAGATGAAGGACGACAGGTGGAGGAATATGTCACCTACTTCATGGACCACGACCCACTAGCCTCCTGGAGACGAGTTATTGTTGTTCTTGATGTGATGAGAGCTACAAATAAGATACGACATCTGGCGGAGTCTGTCACAGGTGAGGACAGGTGTAGCTAGAGACTGTGTGTGTGTGTTGACTGTTGTTTCAAGTCCTGACTAGAGACATGGGAGCACTGCATGTCTCCTACAGTTGTCCTATGGTTCATTAACCCTCGGCGCGCATGCGCAGCGAGGGTTACGGTATTTAAACCCTCTGTAGTTGGGTTTGTGTGTCTGTCTGTCTGTCTGTTACTCTCAATCTCACTTCTCGGGTGTTTTTTCGTCTCACAAAGGATACGACCTACTTAACGGGCAATGAAGGTCAGAAAATTCGAACGGTTTTCTCTGAAACTGCTCCGTTGCAAAGCTAGAGCGCGAAAAAGCAAATATGCAAATACACAACGGACGGGACGGCTTACCGCGGTCTGATCGATCCGCGTGCTCTGCGTACTTCGGAGGCACCAGAAGATGCAACACAGGGCGTGTATCGCCTCTCGCATGCTATCTAGTAGTGTAGTTAGCCCGCGTCAGACTGCGCGAGCTGGCAAGAGACCACGAGTAACAGCTTAAACTAAACCCAGCCCATCAATTAGTGGTACGGCTCATGCGTTTACTTACGCGTGCGCATCAAAGTGCGCCGAGGGTTTGCACTTCAGTGCTTTTCATGTTCCTCCATTGATGAGAGATGATGTTGTATCTGACGTGGTTACTGATGTGTGTATTGCCATGTTATGTCCTACTCTCTGTGCAGACCCCACACTCACTATCAACAACCTCCGTCACGTCACCTCTTCAGTCCAGGACTGGTATGATCTGGGGCACTATGACTATGGTCTTGGTGTTCCTGGTATTGTGCTGAATGAGATCAGGAGAAATCCTGCCCTGACAGAGGAGGAGAAGAAAACAAAGGTCCTACTCTACTTCCTCCACAATGTCCCGATGGCCTCCTGGGAGAGAGTTGCCGGAGTACTGTACTACATGAAGGAGGAGAGGGCATTACAGGCAGTGAAGGGGTTCCTGCCAGTCTCACCAGGTTAGTCTGCTCTGTCGTGATAGCAGCTTGTCTTCCCTAGCAACAGCTATTCTTCCGTGGTTACCGTGACTTTTGACTTTCAGTATGAATCGTTCAGTTCCGTTCCTTCGTTTCGTTTGCCGTTTTTTGCCTCGTGTATTGTTTAGTTCATACGCCCGTCGAATGCGGTCTGTTTCGTTTATGCGCCTTGACAGCCGTCGAACGCTGTCCGATTCGTTTATGATTCGTCGACGGCAGTGAATAGCATTCGAGTTCTTTATGGATCTAGGGCTACACCCACTTTTGAAAAAGGCGTCCCAGGGCTTCTCCTTGTCGTGAGGAGGCGGCCTAGAGAACGAAAACGCGTCTGGAAAAGCGAGGCAGGCTTTTTTCGAGGGAAAGAAACGGCACTCAGCGCTACAGTATGAACGCGTACGATACGGAACACCGTTCGGAAACGTTGCACCCCAGTTTCGTGCGTTATGGTAGCAATCGTCACTTGCATGAAGCAGAAAGACATGCCTGGCGTTATCAGCAACCAGCAGCTTCTTACACAAGAATATCTCTCTCCTGTTGTGTTCCCAGAGGCCAGTCTCACTCCAGAGAACCTCTCCACAGTTCTAGACATCATGAGTGACGGTCTGTGGAGGAAGTTTGGTGGATATGCCAACATACCAGACTCTGAGTTGGACAGTATCAAGGCACAGTGTACCAGTGGCAGAGATTGCAAACAGGCCCTCATTCTCTCCTTCATCACCTCACATCCAGCACCATCCTGGATCCTGGTGGCATGGGCTCTCTACATGACTGAGCGGTATGAGGGTGGCGGCAGTTGTCTCAGAGCATTGGATCACCTGCAGCAGCTGTTCCCCACTGGTACAGCGGACTTTCTTGGTTGGTTGGCCCCCCTTCAACATGTACACTTTACTCCCATGCAGGAAGATTCCGCTCCAAACAGATCTACAAGCAGGAGATGAAACGAGGCCACATTGAGCTGGACTTGGACAAAATGCTGCTGTTTGGCAATGCTGGCAGTGGCAAGACGTGCTCCCTCGCTGCACTGCTCGGAGTTGACCCTCCCACCATCCGACGCAGCACTCCTCTCCTGAAAAGACCCATCGAGGGCATGTTCGTGGACGTCGACGGCAAAAAACAGTGGAAGAAGCGAAAATTAGACCTCGCCGCTGAAGTAATTCGGTCGCGAATGCCACGGCAACAGTCAGTGGCACAGAGCAGTGGTGGCCCAGCCTCCCCCGGCCAGCAGTCTCCCCACACTGCAGCCAGCCAGTCAGTAGAACCAACACCAGAGAACACGAGTAGCTCCATGTCTCAAGCAGCCAGGAAGAGCACAGCATCCTCGGAGGAGAAGCCCAGCACCAGGGAGCAGCAGGAGGCAGAAGGGAGGCTGGATTCCCTGCTGCTGTCGAGTGCGGTGGATGAGGGGTTTGTACATCTCATCAACAGTGCTCCTCCCTCCCTGGAGCCCATCTTGCGACTGAAGCAGTTCCTCGTGCTGGACTCTGGCGGCCAGCCCGAGCTTCTGGAGATGATGCCCGTCTTCCTGAGGGGTGCGTCCAAATTCGTCTATGTCTTGAAGCTCCACGAGTCTCTAGACAAGCGAGCGACGATCCGTTACTTCAAAGACGGCAAGCTAGTGTGGGAGTACCCAGCCTACCTGACAAACGAAGGGACCCTGAGACTGTGCGTGCGGACCATGAGGTCCCTGAACAACAAGAACCCCAACATCCCTCCCGCCAAAATGATGTTTCTGGCCACCCACCGAGACATGGTGGCAGACAAGCAGCTGCCCGGAGTGCTGGACACTCTGCATAAGAGGCTGAGGGAGATCCTCTTGCCTCAGTTCAGGGAGCAGCTCATCTACTGCGATACGGAAAGGGAGGACTTTGTCTTCACACTGAATGCGGCAAAGCCGGAGAAGGAGGACAGGGAGTGTGCGGAGAGCATTCGGGAGTGTCTCAGTAAGGAGGGGGAAAGGGGGAAGGAGGTGAAAGTGCCGTTGCGATGGCTACGCTCTGTACCAGAAGCTGCTGGAGGTGGCAAATGAACTGGGAAGAAGGTAGCTGCCTCGAGAACTGTGCCAGCAGGTGGCAGAGTCGATGGAGATGGATGACGAGTCGTGTGGGGAAGCCCTGAACTTCTTTGACAGTTTGAACATGCTGTTCTACTTCCCCGACATCCTTCCCCAGCTGGTGTTCATGGAGCCACAGATGTTGCTGGATAAGGTCTCGGAGCTGGTGGAGGAGACCTACCACATGAGGCAGGGAAGAAGGGCCAGCCGTGCCGGGGGAGAAGCTGAGATTCCGTGACCACGGCGAAGTGACGGAAAAGTTTCTGGGCGAGTTCGAGAGCCACTACGAGCCACCTCTGTTCACACCCAAGGAGCTGGTGACCCTGCTAAAGGGGTTGCTGGTGTTTGCGGAGATGTCGGAGGACGTGTACTTCATGCCGTGTCTGCTACAAGTTGTGGCATGGGAGGTGGTGGAGGAACACCGAGTGAGTGGCGGGAAAGCCCTGGCCCTTCACTTCCCCGACAGCGGTCCCCTGATGGGAACGTTCTGCTCCACTGTAGCTTACCTCCTGTCCCCCGAAAACAGTCACCCCTGCCCCTGGAGAGTGGTTCAGAACGAGGTGGGAGCTCCGGAATGCCTCCATCGCAACGTCATAAAATTCACCATCCCCAAATGCACAGGCACCGTTTCACTGATCGATCACTTCACCCACTTCGAACTCCACCTATGTACCCACCCAAAGAAGGCAGCTCAGCTGTGGAAACTGGCACACGACGCAGTATTTGCAGGTCTCAAGAAAGCAGGGAAGACCATCGGCTACACAAACAACACTCCAGTCCCAGCCATCGTATGCCCCGCCCACCCCCGCCCAGCCAAACCCCACCCCGCCACTGTTGACAAGGACAGAGTGTGGACATGCTCAGTCAACTCTGGAAAGTTTGGAGACATTGATGAGGACTCTATTCCATGGCTGACCCTCTGCACGTCTGCCTGTGAGTGTGGAGGTCCACCCACTGAGGGCTCTAATTGGAACAGTCTCATTATTCTTTTCTTTCTTTTCCCCTACAGCTGCTGAGTCAGCCACGTCCTCTCCCTCCTCTTCATCTTCTGCAGTTCCCCCCACCTCCCAGCCTCCCCTCTCTGTCTCCACAGCTTCTGCCTCCTCTACTACTGACACCACTACTACCAACACTCCTGGTGAGTCCTTGCATCTCTATGTGCCCTGTTTTGATATTGATTCATGTTCCCTTAGTGCCAGAGTGTTTCATAGTCTCCTATCCTATTGCCTCTGTTCCCTCTCTCTCCCTGTACTCTTCTACTACCATCGCTCCTGGTGAGTCCTTTAGCATTGCTGACCACTTTATTCCACTATTCTACTCTCTATATGTATATGGACATGCAAACCGCTATCACATACACTTTACTCTCTACAGTCGGCCAATCTGTCTCTACCACTGCCAGTGTCTCCACAGCTCCTCATCCTGTCTCCTCCTGTCCTGGTGAGTCCCCTCTTCGAGAGCATTGCTGACTGTTGTTTTTTCTTTCTACTGTTATCAGTCATCGAGTATTCCTACACCTCCTCCACTATTGCCACAGCTGCTATTCCTCTCTCCTCCACTGCTAGCACCACTCATGGTGAGCCTCTTTTAGAAACAGTCTTCCCTACCTCCGCATGATGAGTGTACACATCTATACCCCTAATGTATTGACTGACTCTTACCTTTAGTCGTTCCTCTCTCTCACTTTCTTTGCAGGTGGTGGTGTCTGTCGACCCACTCTGCCAGAGCTACTTCGTCTGGAAATCCCCGAGGGAATTGCCACAAGCTACACCACATTTGGAATCTTCCTCCTCAACGATGAGACGGGGGATCAAGTCGACATCATCGAGGATGAACACCGCGGGAAACCAGAGAGGATTTCTCACAACATTCTGCGGGAGTGGCTCAAAGGAAAGGGACTACTTCCCGTAACGTGGGAGACTCTGGTCAAGACTCTCAGAGACACCAAACTTTCTGCTCTCGCTGACAAAGTCCAGGCCCATGCAGCAAAATTGTAACCACCCATGTTTTGTACACCAAACTTCTCATATCTATACCGCACTCACTTTATTCCCATCTCTATACCGCACTCACTTTATTCCCATCTCTATTCCACACCCACTTTCTTCTCATCTCTATACCACACTCACTTTCTTCTCATCTCTATACCGCACTCACTTTCTTCTCATCACTATACCGCACTCACTTTCTTCTCATCTCTATACCACACTCACTTCTCATCTCTATACCGCACTCACTTTCTTCTCACCTCTATACCGCACTCACTTTCTTCTCATCTCTATACCACACTCACTTTCTTCTCATCTCTATACCACACTCACTTTCTTCTCATCTCTATACCACACCCACTTTCTTCTCATCTCTATACCACACTCACTTTCTTCTCATCTCTATACCACACTCACTTTCTTCTCGTCTCTATACCGCACTCACTTTCTTCTCGTCTCTATACCGCACTCACTTTCTTCTCATCTCTATACCGCACTCACTTTCTTCTCGTCTCTATACCGCACTCACTTTCTTCTCATCTCTATACCACACTCCCCTTCTCATCTATATTAACTGTGTGTTTTGTATGCAATGCCACAGTCAGTTCTTGGAGCATATGTTTACTGTGATGCGCAAAGCGTCCAAAGTCACTTCCGAATAATATTAGTTACTACTTCTGTGGTTTGTCCACGAGCATTCCACCACTAGGAGCTGTAGTATGCAGTAGTCAGTTGGTATGCGGAACATGCCTATATTGTATGGTCATGTGACCCAATCTTGTCTTGAGTCACTCCATTGACAAAACCAGGTCCCATAGTTTTGTATGTGTACATACATACATACATACATACATACATACATAGGCTCAAACCGCATGGTACAAACAGGATCACAGTCACTCCAACACGAACCAAACCCTGCAAGTAGTCTGAGTACCTGAGACTATGTATTGGTGTTATTTTGCCAATACACATAAGTATTATAATACATAAGTATAAGGTTACGTGGTCTTTTGGGAATATAACTTGTGTTATGTGCAAGCAACAGGTGGAAAAGTGGTCATTGTCACAAGGGGAGCGATTTGGTGATGACAGAATAAAGTTTTCTGAGATTTGACAGCAGTTCATGTTCTTTAGGATGCACACACTGCAGTCCCTCCTGAAATGAGTGGAGAAGTGTATCAAGGTGAGTACCATTCAGAAAAAGACAGGGTGGATGAATTGTTGGACCGATTTCTATAAGGACACCCCTAAAATAACGATACGTCGCTAATGTTGGCACTTTCTTCTGCCTCCACAGATCAAAGGGGTTCCACTATACATGTATGTAACCATCAAGTCTCTGTGTGTTCAGTGGACACAGGCTCCTCACTCACCATTAGACTGATAAGCAGTGAGTGAGAGCCAACGAGTAGCCACTTCTCCCCAGACTCAGTGGTGCAGTCACCATTATTACCAGCAGGACAACAGTCTTCCTGGACCACTACACCTGGTAGACTCTGTGAGGGGAAACGGAGCAGAGGCAAACAGTGGGAGAGGGAGGGTGGAACAAATGAGAGAAAAGCAAGAGTGCCTGCTGGTTAATCACGTGTTCTGCCCCAGCAGCTCAGTTGGTAGAGCGCTCTGACTAGACTGCAGAGTGGCATAGGTTCCAGTCCCACCCAGGGCAGCTATTTTTTCCTTTGTTAGAAAGCGTTGTCTGGCGTGTTGTTTTAAAACCTCACTTATGACTCGTGCTCAACAATAGGAAACATCAATAGCTGTACCTGTAGTCTCCAGTATCTCCTGGACAGTCTGTCTTCTCCGAGACATGTGTTCCTAACCACAACCAGACTAGAGTACTCCCTCTCCTGAAACACAATAGCAACAAACACTAATCCTCATATCTAATGGGCAACAATGACACATTAAGTTACGTACGTAGTGCATTTTCTTATCCTCGGGGCAAAAATATATGTTTTCTCAAATGCCGAGATCGAAAAGCATCTTACGCGGGAGTTGAAAAAACTAGAATGCACAGTACAGACCATGTCCTATTCTGGTAAGCCTGGTTCACAACACAGTCACAGAGAGCCAAACACAACACACTCTTCACAGAATTACTGGTTATTCACGATAACTGTTGTGACGTATTGTGAACCGTTCTTAACGGTGAGTATATTATATTCTAACATAAGAATCTCTCCGGATGGCTGCTAGTTGCTCCATGATCTCCCTCCTCTTCTGCTGTATCTCTTTGACAGACGCCAGACCTCGGAGATCCTCGCTATACAGGGAGGATGAATATTGCAAGAAAAGAAATATATGAGAGGAAGGAGGTAGGGAAGGAGAGTGAATGAGAATTGAGGAGAGGAAGAAGGTGTTAAGGTAAGAGAGAAATGAAGTGACATTCACAAGTGGTGGGGTTACCTGATGGACTTTGTCCTCTCCCGCTCTCTGACACGCCCCTCCACCTTCGCCTGGTATGCCGTAACCGTGGCTACTTCGATGGCAGTGCTAACGTCGGGCTTTGGAGTAAAACACACACACAGAGTGTACAGCACCTTACGAGGCAAGAGGGAGATTCTCTCACCATGTCCAGAGCCACAGTTGTGAGCTGTTCAAGAATAGACAGTCTGTATTCCTGCTGCAGGGATTTATCTTCATTCTTCTTCTCTTCCACTAGTGGTTTTACCTGTTTATATAATTATATCAAACACAAAGCTCTTTTGCAGTATTCTGCCACCCTGTATATCATACAAGCAATTGGTAATAATTATGTATGGGGTATTCCATTTAAAACCAACCTGACATTATATGTATGTACATGCATGGTGCAAAGAAATTGTAACGGTGTAGTCTCTCACGCCGGCCGACTGTTTGTGCGTTTTCAAAATTTCTCAACGCAAGTTGACTTTCAGAGACTCATAATTACGAAGTAGGGAGTAAGTAGAGCTCTCAGCACATCAGTATTATAGAGAGACTAACATCAATTCCCTGAGTGTGGAGGAAGTCAACTGCCAGTATCTCCCACTCCACCCCACGACCTTTGACCCTAGTCCTCAGCTGACCGTGGAGGGAAGAGGTAGCAATGAGACGTAGGAGACTGCTGTACATCTCCTCCGGTCCAGGGTCAGAGGTCAACTGGGCCGCCAGCGAGTCTGCAACGTAGAACAGTGATGGAAACACTAAAGTAGAACTACCGATAAAGACATTCCAAATAGAGCACACCGTACACAAAATTGTTAAATAAAAAATATATATTATTCTACAGTGGAAAACATCCCCATAAAAGACGTTTGCTCCCAAAATGTCGCCATTATTCGGAGGTTCCATAGCGAGAAAAAGAACACTAAGGCAAACGAAAAATTCAAGTGCTTGTCCGTCCCCTCTCCCAAGAACTTCAGGAAAAACATTCACGGAACAGGAAGTAATGGCTACACACTAACTGTGTTACCAGCTGTCGGCTTGGTCTTCAGTTTCAAAACCTCCGCAAAGGTTGCCAGAAACTCTGCCACTTTGAGAAGTCGTGGCACAAGGTGCGTTGCCACGGGCAACACCAGTGACGGGATATCGGGCAGAGGGGTAAGTCCCTGCTCGTCAGACGACTGTATAATATCTTTGCGGGCGGAAGAAGAAGTGTCCGTAACCAATTTAACCTGAGAATAAGTAATGTCGGTTGACTCACAGTTCATTTGTACAAACATACAGAATAGAGCACAGAGTCAGTTTCCAGGATACAGTTTTCAGAGAAGGAGATACTGTAATAGGCATTGTGTATAGGTCTGGCACGTGGTGAGGGGATTTGCCACACATTCACACCCTACTTGATGTAATGGAAAATCATTACTGTTTCCCAATATCAGCATCTTTTGTGGCAGTCACATGGGGAAACAACCAAAGATGATAATTATGACACACAATGGACATGGCACCTCATCATGCGTCCTTCGCTCTGTCCTAGGTGGGTGACCACCGTTGAACTGCTTGGAGATATCTCTGGCCATTCTTTTCAGCCCCTCTCTCTCCTCCCTCACCCTCTCTCTCTCCTCCCTTGCCCTCTCCTTCTCTTTCTGACGATACTCTCTCTCCAACTGCTTCCAACGTTCGTGCTCTGACCTGTGAGTAAAATGAACCACTAAACAAAACTGACTTTTTTTATTTTATAACATTTCATCATTAACCCTTTTGATTCCACGGGTGTCTAAATGAAACACCAAAACCTACAAGTTTCAAAACATTTCATCATTAACCTTTTCATTCCATGAGTGTCTAAATGAAACACCAAAACCTACAAATTTCATAACATTTCATCACTAAGTCGATATCCTAAGATTTGGTGGAAAACTAGGGTTTCTCAACACACATTATTTTGGAAAGCAAATCGACTACAGTTGTTTTTCATAACAATCCCTGTCCCTCCGACAATAAGACCTCACTCACTTCAGATTCAGCAGCTGCAACTTCCTAAGGTCCTCCAGTTCCCCCTGTTTCTCAAGCCACTCCCCCTCGTTAAACTCTCCGACCTCCTTCTGGGGCTCTCCATTTTCCCTTTCTGACAATCTCCTTTCTCTCTTACTCCTTCGTCTTTCTGTGGCAATTCCATCATTCTCTCTGCATGGGTTTTTATGCTGCGGAGCGTCACTGTAGTCGCCGGCAGAGAATCTCTGGGTCAGGATTCGTCTCCGTGACGACCGCCAAACAAACAGCTCGGTGGAAGAGGAGGGGGAGGTTGGGGAGAAGGGAGAGGGGAGATGTGAGGGAGGGCTGTGTGACGAGTGAACCGCAGAGTCAGTTGTTGAAGTGGATTCTGTGGTGGTCGAGGCAGGTTTGCCAGAGAGATTGATGATGGAGGGTTTGGTGCTCTGGTGAGTTTGGGGAGTGAGTGAGGAAGGAGAGGTGGTGGGTGCTCCTCGGCGTTTCCGAGATACAGTCTTGGGGCTTGTAGTTTCACTTTTTGTTGCATTTCTTTCTGCACTGTTTTATTGAGAGAGAGAGAGAGAGAGAGAGAGAGAGATCATGTGAGTAACTACAACAGAGGAGTCGTCACATGAAAGTCACATGACAAGCATAAAGAGTCATGTGACTCACCTCCTGGAGGAGACAGGTTGGCTGTTGGACTGCCACTGAAGAATCTTGGCAATGTCGTTAGTTCCCTCGGTGAGAAAGTCAGACACGCTCTCGAACCCTGCGACCTTTGCCAGCGGTGTCAGAATCCCTGTGGCTAGCTTTCCTTCCTGGAAAATATCACACTCAACCTTAACCCTTTGGACACCACCGATAGCTCCTTATGTATATCACATAAAAATCCATATAAGTTGCTAACTTTCCTTCCAGGAGAAAATAATATTCAACCTACCAAACACTTAAAAGGGAACGCTGCAGGCTAATTATAATAAAATGGAAACCTGTAAGAGGTTTCTCATTTTACAAAATGAAAAGCTTCCTCCTGAAACGTTGTGATAGACCAACCCACACATGCAACTGACCTTCCTGCGACAGAGTGAACAGTTGCACTTATTGGAACACACAGGACATACCCACGTCACCACGGCAACAGTTTCCTTGACGATACCATAACGATTGAGAAGACACTGCTCACACCTACGTATATATACAATATCAGCAGGGCACCAGAAGTTCACAGCAAAAATGCATATACAACTATTCATCCATGTATTAACTGCCATGCTTCAACAATAAGATCTATGTTGTATGAAGATGTTAGCCTCTGTCAATCCGTTCCTAATTCCCATCTCTCCCTTCCCTCTCCCTTCTCCTCCTCCTTCTCTCCCACCTACTCACCAGAAACGTGTGCACGTGCTGCACTTGATTCTCTCTCTCCCACTCTTCACCTCAGACACGCCCTTATTGCTGTGGATACTCTGTCTACACTGGTGACACGACTGACTCTGTCCACGACCAACACCCTTCCTTTCACCCTCTTTCTTGCTTTTACCAGTTTTCCCGCCAATTTCGCTCTTTTGTTCCCGCGAGCATGCGGTCCCTTTTCGTTGCTTCCCGCCGCCAGAAAGAGCTGCACTTGTCTTCAGACTCTTATATAGTTCCCCCGTCGCCTTTTGTTGGTTGGAAACACGCATGGACGCTCGTTTAGGCGGCATATTATTAGCTCTCTCCCTTCTGCTCTCTCAACCAAACGCGCGCCTACACACGTGGCGGGGTTCAAAGGTTGAAGGTGATGGAGGCATGCGCGTTGATGGAATTGTTATGCGCATGCGCATATGTATAATTATACAGCGCGAGCGTAAGATGGCCACCAGCAAGCGAGCAGGCAAGGCACTGGAGTTCTCTGGAGGGTTGACTCAACTCCAGGTACTATATATCCACTGGTTACCTTTTCCAACCAAGACTCTTTCCGCTAGTGGTGTGCTGGAACCGTGCAACAGTTGCAAGAGGAAGTTCATAAGTCTGGAAAATGCTTCCCTGGAGAGGTATGTAGGCAAGTCCCAAGGACCTCAAAATTATTTTTGGTTGTTGACTCACATACATGGGCCTACTGTTTTGAGTAGAACCTTACATTTTTACCTGACGGAGCCGTATATAAAAGCCAACATGCAAACAACAATTACCTGTGCTCTTTATAAAGAGTATTTTTTAATGTAAAAAAATCCATGGTTTTGACGTGCACGGTCAATGTTGCAGCACCCTTGTGTAGCAAACTTGGTTGATGGTCTCTCATCTTCAAGCCGGGAGACAGTACAGGCCGTGTGTCTGGTCCTGACAGAGGCAACTTCACGTGGTCTTGTCTCTGGAGATGATGTCATAACGACTCTGATCAGCTCCTGTGCATCCATGCCTCACTGGACTCTCGGTGTCCACGCCCTCGCCAAACTACTCATGAAGAAAGTTGTACGGGCTGGTGGTTCACTTACTACTAGCCCTTATTCACTTCGGTAAGATCATTCATTAATGCAGTGGGACCTCTGATAATGAACTCCTCAAACAGAGAAAACCTCTCTTAATTTAACATCTACTCATCTCTCAATAAAGAAAACCTCAGAAAAATGTCCCCATATTTTCATCATTTCGAGGGGTCCCACCGTAGGTATGAATAATGAAAAAGTCTGTTAGGATCTCACCCCTACCATTTGTTAATGAATTATCAGTGATTATGTATTTTATATCATAGGAGCTCGCCCCTCCCATTTATATCCATATACAACTCCAAACCTGACAGTGGGCTTGTCATATCTGACGTGGCAGTTCAGATGCTGAAAGAATCAACTGATTGGTATAAGTTTTATAGAACCAGCACTTTTATATTGGCTGTAAGTGAACCCACCTAGTCATCTGAATGCGGGATATTCTCTATGGTTATTATGTTGTGGCACACTGCATGTTATACACGTGATTCTTAATACACACGAAAATTGAATTCAGTGATTATTTCAGCTGTAATTTTTATGCTTGTTGCTCAGTTTCAGTGGTGTGGTGTTACTGCTAACTCCACTCTTCAAGTACATGTTCCTCCATCCACTGCCGTCCTCGGAGCATGCTATGGTGTCGTCCTACCTCCACTCATCTCTACTGTCACTGGCAGAGTCTATGTCCGTGGGAAAACAAAGAAACCGGTCAAAACTCATACTCAGAGCTCTGAAGAATCTTCTCCCTCTCTCACCCTCTTCCAGCCACCAGAGTGTTCTCATACTCTCCAGTAATGTTCAGGTATATAGGATTGATCATGAGCAGCTTTTTTATCTTAACCCTTTGGACGCCATGGGGATCTGCTTAAATAAGCATAAATTGATGTATAGTGTATTAGCGCCTAGTATTATAACCACCCATACACATTCTTATGGACTTATGGAGGCATTTATGTGTCCATGGCTGGTTAAGTGTTAATACTAGTATGCATTGATGGACGAGCGTGAGTGAGATCGTTTCACATGTTTTATGTGTGCTAAAGCATTAGTCTATGGATGGAACTGTCTAAACCAAGAAATTCGGACTAGGCTGGCTTGCCAACTATCGTCTACACTCAATCACTAATGGTAGATAATGGGCGTTGCACACAAACTACTATGCCATTTTCCATTCTGATGTTTCAGAGGCTGGCAGAACTGTGGTTGAAGGTTGGAGAGGAGGAGAATGAGGTGATGGCAATGTCTGATGCCTGTCTGGACCTCTGCTGCAAGTGTTTGGAAATGAGTCTCTCATTTGAACCACTACTGAGGACTCTGTCAAAGCTTATCAGTTCACCACTCAAGGTTTGTCTCTATAGCAGCCTCCTGGTACTCTTACTATCACTAAGTACGGTAGCTAGTACTTAATACAGCGGAAGCTCCGATAAGGGACCCTCCGAGAGAGATAAGGGCGGCCTCTTTACAAGGGGCACAATCGTTGTCCCGTGTTCGGAGGTTCCACTGTAATGGGTTATCCTGGATCATTCCCATACATCTGTGAAATGCACCTTCAGTTTCAAGCTCTGTTTATAGGTTCAGCTCTGTGGGGACCAGATAATGTGTCTGTCTTGGCTGATGCTCAATTCACTTCTCCTTCCAGCCACTCTGGATCTCATCCTGCACCTAGGTCAGGCCCTTTGAGTGTGGCAGTGATACTGTATGATACTAAAGATGAACTAAACAAAGGGGCCAAGTGCAAGAATTCATGTTGGTTTCTCTTTAGCCTTCATATTATTATACTGCCGCGTTCCTTTCACATGCCAGTATAATGGAGTACACGACAGAATAAACGTCTTCCTCTTTCATCATCTCTGCAGTCCTGGAATCATTGAAACGCTGCCCTCAAATGTCATCCTATCTTCCACTGATGACCCTGCCACTAGTTCAGGTCCTTTCTCTCCCTCCATTACATCATCATCACTACCCACCCCAGCAGTCTAGTCTTCAGCAGTCAGCGTACACCCTCACACTAGCTATCCAAGAAAACAACAACTGGACATGGGACTTGGACAGAGTCAAGGTAGCTATATCTAGAACTGTAATGGGATTAATGTTTACTCCTTTTTCCTCAAGAGCTCGCGGTGTTTGCTTGGCTTTCAACCATATCCCATGGTTAAGTCATTATATAACTCTCTCCGATCTATTTCGTCAACTACGACCTCAATGAAGACATGGTTGAATGGCATATCAGATCAAACCCAACTATCGCAGATGCCCAGCTCTTCAATGCAGCTATTGGCTCTCACGCTTTCAATGCTCCTTGCAAAGAATGTGTTAAAAAGTGAAAGGTGTGGCAGTGGAGCTGAATTGTCGTTGGTATTAAAAGCATTGTCTGCCGTAACAAAATCACAACCCAGCATTGTAAGTTCTGAGCATGTATAAGACCTAAAATTTGTGATATGGTTTCTGCACCTCTATGCCCATGCAGTCTCCATCTCTTCTGCCGTTGATTCTTTACCTTCTCCGCCTCACGCCATCTCCCTCTTTAAAGGGTACTCTTCTCCAATCCCTCCCCTCACTTGCCGCCCATAAATACGCCGCCACCCCCACGGCCAACGTGCTGCGAACACTAGCTGGACATCCGTCACTGTTGCCAGTCTCTCTTCGACTCCTGGGAAAGTTGTGGTCTCGGCATGACTCTGTGTTCCCCCTCTTGGCCTCTCTACTGGCACTGCAGAAGGCCCCTGCTACAGTGGCTACTGAATTGGATATTGCCAAAGCTGTCGTCATCAAAGAAATCTGCTGCACAAGGTATCGTGATACTGTTACTATGTTCTTTGTTCAGCTGATACATCCACATCCATACGTTCGTTCCCCTTCCACCATAACTCCAATATAGGTATACTTGCACTCCTGGCATCACACATCAATACATTCCCCCAACTGCATGTGCATTTTTAGTTACCCCCCAAAGCTGGCTACACATGCACTTCCGCTAATTAATGCTCCCGAAATAATTCTCTGCATTCATCTACTAATTTAATTGCAGGGGTGAGCAACATGGAGAGGAGATGTTGAGCCACATTTCACTCATCTTCAAGCAGTCTAGAGTTCCTCTTGCCACTGCTCTCGTCACAGATGCCCTGGCAGCCCTCTGCCGATGCGATGTACGTTAGAGTATTCCTCCTCCACGGTTGAGTCGTCGAATCTGGTTGATCAAAACTTTGTTTCTTCCATGTCTGCAAGCGAACGTATTTGAATGCATATATACCTTACATGATTCAGTGCCTCATGCAAAAACTAGAGAAGCTCCTGTCCTGAATTCTAGAACTGGCCTCTACCCAATACTCAACATGGAGCGGGCATGGCAGTGCGTACTACTTTTAACCTTTGTTTATGCATGCAGTGGATGATTATTATTGTGTGTTATAGTGCTTTTAATTTGCTCTTACATGTGTAGCTCCATTTAGTGTTGTTTCTCTAGATTGCAGATCCCGTAACAGTGTGGTCTGTGTTTGGAGAGTGTTTACTCGGCACCGAGAGGTGAAATGACCCCAGTTGCCATGAGATGCAGCGGTATTACACTTGTTATCTTGTTGTCAGCGTCCCGACTGTTGTAGCCTCGTGTTCGATTCTGAGTCTGGCTTCCAGTGTTGACTCTGAGGAGAGACAAGCTGCGAAAAGTTTCAAAAATGCTGCCCTGAAACGCCTCTGGAAGATGGTGTTTTCTCAGGTATAACAGAGCTGCCAGTTTGATCACTGATGACACATACTGTATTTCCTGCAGCTCTAAATGTGTGTCTAGTGCAGTCTAACGTGTAGTATAAAGTGTAGTCTTTGCAGGATCACAGAGTGTGTTCTGCTGCACTAAATGGACTCTGTCACTTCTGTACTAGTGACTTTCTAATAGAACATTTGCCACCCGAGGTTTGTAGGTCTACTTTATCACATGCAACTCATTTCGATATGCCCTCCTGCAGGCGCCAACAATTCAAAATGCCACGGCAGCTGATGTGTTTGCAGGGGATTTTGAAACACCTAATACCGTGCAACTACCAGCAAGCTATTGTGTTGACTTGGTCACCATTGTACCCACACAATCTCTGCCCAGTCTGTCTCAGTTTCTCTCTTCTCTGCTTCCGTCTGAAGTCGAGGCCGTACCTCGCGGAACTATTTCCTCAGTTCTGAGACAGAGTTGGGTTCAAAGTCCGTTGGAGAGAGCCGTGAAAGGAGTGGAGAATCTTCTGCTGGGGATGTGTGTGGTCAACAGTGGAAGAGACTCACCTCATGGAATGGTGGCAAGTAAGGTTATAATGTTAAAGTGGCACATGAATGTATTAGTGAAATTGTACACAACGATAGTAGATACCTTGATGCAAATTATAGTGACATTGTATGCAATATTCATTTAATAAAAAGAGCGTTAATACACTATTCTGCAGATAGGAAAGTAATGCAAATACAGTGGCAATCAATCTGCTTGTGTTAATTGCCACTTTTTATCTATAGTCTCTTACAGAAAGATTCACCAGGAATGTAACATAACACGGATAAGATTTCTCTTTCCCTGTAATAGAACTACAATATCTCACAAAATTCTCAGGTACTGCCCTCATGTTGTGTGCCATGGCGTCATCTACTGAGCAAGCTGAGTCTCAAAATAGAAGGGGACACATAGCCCTAAAAGAGATGAAGAAGTACACGGCACTGCTAGAGGACGCTCTTACAAATGGCCACGTCTCTCTTGACTGTGACGGTGGAGAGGGGAGTGGAGGGGTGGTCCCCGCAATTAGTTGTCTGGTTTTGCCGAGACGGTGGGCTCTATTTATGAAGAAGGTCTGCGACTGTTTCACAATGGTAAAGAAAGCTAATCATACACCTGGCAGCATGCAGCAATATATCCGCCAGAAATAGAAGAGCCTTCTAAAAGCTGCAACATAATTATCGCAGGAGACCAAAAACTAAGCAACTTGCTATCATACCGGGGGCAACTTTATTTCTTGCCACATGTTTCTAGCAGCAATTGCATTTTGTACGAGGGAGTGAAAGGAAACGCAAGATAAGGCAAGATAGTACTGCTATTCCACACTCCAACAATAGTCAAATTATTAGGTATGGTTTGTCTTGTCATTTAGTTTACTCATGGCCCTACGAAAAATGCAAAACGGTGGGGCACATTATATATGAGGGTGTGAAAGGAAAGGCGAGATAAAGGAAGATAGTGCTGCTGTTCCAAACTCCAGCTATAGTGTTGCTTGCAACATGTTTTTAGCAGCAATTGCATTTTGTATGATGGCCTTAAGGGTGGCTCATCGGTGACACATATGGCCGTGTGCACATATTCCCCTGTTTCAGGTTTGGCTTACGAGAAACTGCCCAGCGTCTATCTGGGATAATTCATCTGCTCTCGAAGAGAAACTCTTGAAAGCCAGGGATTGGTAATTTTTTAGTCATTAACTGTGTTCTACATAACTATTCTTGCTATGTTGTTTCTCGTAGGGCAAACAGAGAATTGACCTCAAAGTTCACTGAGGTGCTTAGGTAAGAGCACACTATGTCTTGGTTAGGTGAAAATCGTGTTTTTTTTCATTACAGAAAAACTCCGACGTCATCTTCAAATGTTCTTTTTGCTCTCATGGGTGTTGTGTGCTCCTCTTTGCTCTCACCGACTGGCAGCAGTGAGACTCAAACCGGCAAACACGCCGCGGCGAGGTCTTGTACAGAGTTCCTCTTGTTGACAATTACACACATCCAGTGTGTCATCAAGGGCTCAGAAGTGGAGCATTCAGTTAACTCTCCTGTGTCCATCCTCCTCTCCGTGAGACACATTTCTCTTTGGTTGTGTCCCTCTTTTGTTGCTATTGCAGGGTTACCTCTTTCCTATTTGTGTATGCATTGATTGTCTATTGTAGGGTTACCTCTTTCCTATGTACTTTGCACTCACTTCACTCACTCTAGTTGATGAACACGAGTTACCTGTGTATGCATTATTATTGATGAGCATGAGTTACTTTTTTGCATTCTGTGTATGCTTATTGCAGGATCTGAAAGAGTGTGTGGATGTCTCAGAAGTAGTGTTAGTATGTCCACTGCTCATTGAGACTGCTCTAGCCTGGACTTCCCTCTCATCTTCTCCAACCACTACTTTTCGAGCTCTGGAAGACTTTGTGTTGTGTCTGTGGAGTCACTTCAATGCGTAATGAGAAATATAGTCATTTGGAACTACTGGAATCGATTTGTTCATCTTTCAGATCTCCGACGTGGTGTTGTGGAATTGTTATGAATGAAATCCTGTTAGCAATGCTCCCAAGAATGAGTCAGGTATACATAGCTAGTAATACAGTTGAACTTCTGAACAAGGGACACTATGGGGTCAACGATTTTGTCCTTTGTAGAGAGGTCGTTCCTATCGCGGAAGTCAAATAATACACTAAAGTATTAGCATGGGGTTGCAACAAGTGTCCTTTGTAGAGAGGTCGGCCCTATCTCAGAGAGTGTCTTATCGGAGGTTCCACTGTACCCTATTATTATGTTGAGGTATGTATCGTATTAGCCTTTGAAACGTACATATGCTCATTTTCTGCAATAAGTTTTCTCAATTTAGTCAGACGCTGTAATGTTATTTGCTAGGGTGAAGCGATTGATGCCCAACTTGTCGATTTTGCTGAAGCTTCACAGCAGTCTCAAAGGTGGAAGATACATTTGTTGTTTTTATCTCTATATCCATGTTTGGTCATTTGCAGCTTTGAGTACCAAACTGTAGTTTCATCTCTTGTCCCAACACTGATCTTTATGAAGCATGCTGACCATTCCCTGGGAGTTCTACACCATTTGAAAGCTTTACTTGAGATTCTCGGCCCTGAACAGTTGGAAATGGAGCAACCTCAGGTTGTTTCCAGTGTAGAAAGCTCTGGGGGAGATTACTTTTCCTTTATTAATGTGCAGATTGTGTCCATTAACTACGTGAACTCCTGTCGTCTGCTGTATTTGAATGGAGTTGTTTCAGATCCAGATGCAATGGAGTGTGTTACACACATTGCAGACCTAGCCACTAAGGCACCTCATGTACGTACATACGTAGCACAGTGCCTTTCTGTTGTATATATTGTATTGAATATTCAATGCCCTGGTAGCTTGGTTTGTAGAGCGACTCCCTACCATGAAGATCATCATGGGTTCGAATCCCACCCTGGGCAATTCTTTTCTTTTTCCTTGGGGTGCAGTTTTTGCTTTGCCTAGCCCTTCTTCCTTGTTGTTGATACTACAGCATGCATAGCTACCACTCGTCTTGGAATTTCCTACTGTGCCGAAGTCAAGACTAAAGTGTGTAGCTAGTCCTTCTACACTATGCCAGAATCAGTGGTAGCACATCAGTTTTGCCTACACCGCAGTCAAGGCTATGAAGCCTACACCACATTGTCAAGACTGTGAAGAAGTGCACCCATGTAACTAGCATGCCACACAAAAGACTGTGTGTAGTCACCAGGATTTACTTTAGTATTACATACAGTCTTCGTTCTGAGGTAGTATAACTATATAGGTATATAGGAACACTCTGATTTAGTAGTGTAGGCTAACTAATGCACATATATACATACAGTCTTCGTTCTGATGTAGCAAGGAACACTGAACCACTGATCTATATATACTATGGTGCAGGTGGCTGTCTATCACTTCTGTCTGGGTTCCCTGATATATGGGTTGATGGCTAGTGGACACCCAACAGTCGACGATCTGGCAGATTCCATTGCTGTTCGCTGGATCCAGCAGCTCTCTGACCAAACCTCCACCAATGAGGTATTTTTAGACGACATCAGTGGTAATGGAGCCCAACTTTGATTTTGTCTATTACTCTTCACTGAATTGCACAGTGCATGATGGCATTTTGTAGCTCTACTGTGTTCTGTTGGTGTTTGGTACAAATTACAAATCCAAAGCATAGTTTTTTGTGTGACATTAAAAAAACCTCCCATTCAATGTACGGCAAAGTGCATTCTCAACTTGAACATACTCCAGTCGGCTGAATTTCGCGATTTTTGTACTTGGCATGTCACAGTATGTACTCTTATAACTGTGGACTCATGTTCATTCGCCAAATGCATTCGTCCTAGTAGAGAATGATGTTGTTCTGGTATAGTTATGCCTCTTTTACTGAAACTCTGTGATTCAGTTGCTGGTTACCATGTGGGGGCTGGCTGGACTCATTGGTGTCAACCCTACATACGACACGGTACGACTTTGTCACTCATTGATTCACATGTGGCTAGTATATTATACTGTGTGGTGTAGATGTGGTACAAAGATGAACTATCTCTGCTGACATTTGTCGACACACTGTTTCCACTACTCAGGGACTTCTTAGGGAAGGTAAGTGTTCTCCTAATATTGTCTGAGTGTTATATCTCCCAATGAATTGCCATCTCAGCTTGCTAATGAAGAGAACCCAGTAGTTGGGGTTCATGCAACTTGGATTCTTGGATGCACTTACCATCGTCTCACAGCCTTGTTCTCTAGCATGGAGAGAGGTAGGCCTACATAATTGGCGAGTGGAGCAAGCCTACCTAGTCTTTTAATGATATTTATATGTGACGGCTCTGTCAGGCACGTAATGTCCTAAATACACGCACAATACGTGCGAAATATTGCTTGAGCTCGTTCGCCAACAATGTGTTCCATTCCTCTAGTATTTGTGAAAGTGTGTGTTATTTGCAGTTCCTAAGGATTACAGCTACCTTCCAGAAGGCACTCTGCTCCCTACACTTCTCTCTTATGTGACTGACAGTACGTATAATATTAGGCAATTCCATCATCATGGGATTTGAATGTTGTTGACGATGCACGTGCAGGTAGGGCTGACATTAGGCAAGTCAAGTGCCTCTTATCAGCACTGTTGTCTGTGAGCGATCCCCTTCCACCCTGCGATATGGGCTCAGTTTTGTTCCCGTTTGTGAAATCAAGTGAGTCATCTGGTGTTGTGTTTTACACCTCAGGGTTGATATACTGAATTGCAGGTGAGCTCCAAATGACCTGCGTGCAACTAGTCATCAACCAGAGCTCTCATGTGGGAACGAAAATTCTGGCTGGACACATTATGAACCTGATGCTGGCTGGCAGTCTAATGGTATGCCCACACATATCACCAGATTTCCCTGCACCATTTTCAACTAGCACGTGAAGCAAGCCTAAGAATGTTACTTTTGTTCTATTAGTCTTGCTCATTCAGCTGACAGCCTACTGTTGGTGGGTTCTTGTGTATTGCTATCTTGTATATACAGACAGAGGCTGAGCTCCAAGTACTTGAGAACCTGTCTAGTTTTGTTCCCTTGCTGCCTGCTGCTTGGAAATACCTCCAGCCACTTACTACTTTACTATTGAAACTCTATCCAACTTCTCAGGTATGGAATGCTCTCCCATATTTCACCTGTAGTTACATGACACCGTTTGATATTACATGCAGAAGCATCTGCAGAGCTTCCTAATGAGTGTCAATGATAGTGTTACTTCTGGCACTACCACCACCACCACCACAAAGTCACTGGGCTACAGTGAAAAGGAGATGATACAACAAGTCTGGGAGAGGATTTGTGGCTGTGGATGTACCGTGGAGATTTTTAGCACCGACGGAAAGTTGCTGCTACGGCTTGTGGCAGAATGCCTTGCAGCTACTGGCTATGTTCCTATTTCATTCGATGTGCGTAATGCTACTGATTGTTAACTGCTTTCATTAAGGTGTTGCTACGCGTGGTAGACTCCTGGTTACACTCACTTTTGTTCTTGGCACAGGCTTCAGTTCCTGTTGTTCGGACTGCCTTTGAGTGTCTACTGCAGGCCTGCTGGGTAGACAGTGGAACACGTGGTGTTTCAAACCTTTGCAAAATTATGCACTGGACCCTTCAACACTATGGTAGCTATACTATAGTGTACATAGCTACTGATACAGTATATATGTGTACTGATTATCTGTCAGGATTACTGGAAAATGGAATCCAGAGAGCGTTGATGGAAACCTTGGTGGAGGTTATACGTCATGTGTCTTCTGTTGGTGCATCACAGAAATCACTCGTGATTCAAACTGAGCTTCTGCACAGTCTCCTGGCATGGACCAGGACCAAACAGGTTGGGGAAATTGATACTCCCATGGTATTGTTATTGCCTGATTTCTGTGGAATTGCAGCCATCAGTTTCCCAGATGCAGTTGGTGCTGTTTCTGTGTACGGTAGTTGCATCGCCCACCCCTCCAGGCCTGACCACACACCCCTCTCTCGACTTGGTCCAATGGCTCGCCTCGTTCTCTCTTCCCGATACCCCTGTCCTGCAAGAAAAAGTATAATTAATAGGGCTAAATGTAGAAACGCCAGAACTACGTATAATATACTGCCATATTATCTAAGCTGAGGTGTTTACTATCATACAGACACTGCAGTGTTTAGTGGAATGGTTCGCATACAGTCATGAAGATGTCCACGAAATCTGTTTGAGTAAGAAAATAAAATTGTGTGACGAATGTTAGTTCACAGTGTTTCATTGATTTTATGTTTGTAGGTCTTTTGAGCCGTTTCACTTCAACTGGTGCCTACCGTAGCCCTGTCTTGTGGACCACTGCAGCCCACCTCTTGTAGACAAATTGAACGAGATAGTAATTATGTGTGTGTCTGTGTGTTTGTCACAGTTGCTTTTTGGCTGCCAACGCGAGGCTTAATTGCGCGTGCGCGCGGGTGCGCATGAACGCAGCAAGTGCGGGCTCCGACCACTTTTCGTTCTCGTCTTCTTTTTTGAAGCAGTTTGAAGAGAAACGGTATATAATTATACCTGTATATAATAGTATGTGTTCACTACTACGTCCATACTAAAGAGGTAGCTTAACTAGCGGCATCTGCGAATCTCCTCCAGTGTATGGCTCGCGGCTATATACTTAGGGCTAATGTTGGAGGCGGGAGCCATAAGTTTCGTTTAGTCTCAGCTCGCAAGCCATGCCCAGTCTTGCTACTTCGAATTCATGGTAATAAATCACCAAAAGTTACAAATCGTCAAATAATATTATGAGCAAGTAAGCCGATAGCGTTTACTAGGCAAGGAATCTTGCATGGTGCGCATTTCAAGAAGTTGTATATACACACAGTCGCGTTCATTCCGCGGAATTGGTTCACTGATAGTGTCAGTACTGTAGTATTCCTATAAACAGGTTCATTCAAGATACGCTATAGCCAGCACTCCAGTTCTGATCTTCTTGCTCTGTGTCTTCCTTGCTACTAGCTAGAGCCTTGTGATAGTCTGAGTGACATGATAACGTTCCAGTTGAGAATCCTCTACATCTTTCTGACCTTCCTTTGTCACTATGGTGAGGTTTAACTGTTTCTTGCACTTAGTGAGTATCGTGGGACCGTAATTACACTCTTTTCTAACACATTTATCCGTGTGTTATATTATATAAACTTGCAGGAAGTTCACAGTTTTGTTACAGATGGCCACGGTGCAAGGGAGTGGCCCAGGCCATCACGAAAGATGGTAAAGATTGCTGCTCGAAAAACGGGATCTCATTCTTTCTAGATGAAAGATGCTACTCACTGGAGTGTTCAGGTGTGAAGCATTGCTCCATACACAGTGTGTGTGAACATCTCTATACTGTCTGTGTGTATAGGCTCATTGCTATGTTGACTTATTGCAAGATATTGAGCAAATAACGCAGCAGCACAACAATCTAGACCGATATTTCCGACTGAAGAAACTTTGTCAGCTAAAGGCTGTCGAGCCAAAATGCCATTTATGTGGATTGTTAATGAAGCTCGCTATTGCTACATGAATAGAGTATTTTTCTTGCAACGTCTCTATATTCCACAGCATTTGAGGGAGTGTGCAGGTCCCAATCTCTTCCGGGGAGGAAAGTGATTGACTGCCAATTCAATCACCAGATAGTGTTGGCCGTATGTTCGTTTGACGGCAGTGGTTACCGCTGGTCGTGCTCGTTTCCACTGGAATTAGAGATGGCGGTATTTGGCAGCGACTACCACATCCTTCTGGTGACAGCTACCAGTGTGTTTGGAAACTCTCTGGACTTTTTTATCGGCTTCCGCATCCACAGCAGTTAGTTCCTAATTGACACTGATAATACAGTGGAACCTCTTAATAATGGACACATGGGACCAGTCTTTATAGGGAGGTTGTCTCTCTTTGGCGTGTATGATTTGAGATTTAAAGTGTGAGAGGTTTTTTTTCCTATTGTGTCTTTCATTAGGAATGTCCTTAATTGAAGGTTCTAGTAATGTAGTTTAATTTATAGACAGCACTGTTGCAGTATCGCAATGTTTTACGTAATTAAACTGAAATTTTGCACTTGTATTCAGTTGCATGAAATTCCAATCATTCCAATGATTGTAGTTGGTAACCATGAGAGCCACATTATACACGTCTGATGCTATTTTCCCATTAGCTCAAGAAAACGGTGCACACATTTCCCTGACCAACGAAAACGACAGAGATAGTGACGGTGTTCTTAATGATGGAGATAATTGTAGGGATAAACCCAACATAAGCCAGAAAGATGCGGATGGAGATGGAGTTGGTGATATTTGTGACAACTGCCCATACGACCCTAACCCCTGGCAATTAAATAACGATGTAGATCTTTTGGGGGATGTATGTGATGACGATGATGATAATGATAAAATTGGTGAGTGAAGGACTCTGAATGCCCCATATGCTATCCTCGAAACTGCTCATTTTTTGCTGCAGAGGATCGTGAAGACAATTGTCCATTTGTGTACAATCCACATCAACGTGATGCCGATAAGGACAGAATAGGAGATGCATGTGACAAAGTTGCCTATAGTAACACGTCAACACAAAACCACTCGGGAACTGAGGGTGTTACCTTGAGTACACATGACATGGAACATTCTGGTACGGATCATTTATAATGCACCTGAGATTACAGGGAATGTGGCAGTGTACTAGGGCTAAATAGAAATGTCGGAAATCGATTGCAACTTGGCCCTATTGTTTAGTTCCATCTAACACTTCTACATTAACCCTTTATATGTACTGTCACGTTCCCAATGTTATTATAATATGCCCAAGAAAAGTCTCTCTAATTAGAGACATTTGTTTCCTTATTCCCCACACAGGTATAGTTTATGTTGGTCTAGAAAAGAGTGTCTACCTGGTATCAGAGAGTAGTCGTCAGGTTCAACTCTGTGCAGTGGTAGACTTTGCAAGCAGTAAACGTTCCGTTGAATTTGCTTTCAAAGTATCCCTCTCTATAAATAACACCAGAGAAGGTTAGTGTTTGAGTTAGGCATAGTAATAGGAAAGTTTTTAAGGTTTAGGTTCTTCTTTTGTCTCTTTTTTGTAGTGTGTGAGGATTGTCTTGATAATGTCTCGCTGACTCTATCGTTTGCCCCTCGTGAGAAGAGGGCATGTGCCAATCTGATTCTCAAGGATAACGAGATTGCCGAGATGGTCAAATCATTCCCAATATTCCTGGAGAGGACACATGATCTTGATGCGAATGTCAAGGTCGACCCTTTTATTGGGGAGCTTATCATTTTTGATGATGATGGTAGCTAATCTCCATTAGAATAATGCTTCGTACTATTATGTGTGAGCTCTCTCTTCAGATATGGTAGTGGGTTTCAGCTCTTCCCAGTACAATGTTGCTAGACTTGTGATGGTTTGTGTGGAACTGTTGAACCCTCCTTCCGGTGGAGCTGTCAGACCATTCACTGTGACTCTAGTGCCCCTAGAAGGTAGCTATAATTCGAGGTAGACACCACGTGCGCTTTTCTGTTTGTACTCAGCTCTGCACTATAAACGTGCTTGCAAAAGCACAAGCCTAAGGGTCTAGCTTGATAGACTGTGAGAGAGTAGTGTATCACATTACCTCATCCTTCTGCGAATGTTAGTAACAAACTGATGCATAGCTACATTATCTTAATACACTAGAACATTATTGATAAAAGACATCAAATAAAGGACACAATATGATAATTCCTTTTAATAAAAGACACACTTTGAGGTCCACACGTTCACTTTTCTATTGTTCTAGTAATTTGTAACTTCTGAAAAGAGGACAACCTCCCAATAAAGAACAAAATGCCTGGTCCAAGCATGGTATTCAGAGGAGGTTCCACTCTATTACTTTGTTGGAATGGCTCTTATGAGGACATTCAATTTCTTCATAATACCCGTAGGACAAGGAGAACAGTGCTCTCCGTGGTCCCACAGAAGATTGCACTTCACCACTGGGCAATCAAGAGTCTGCACCGATTACAATCTTACAAATGGCGATTCATGTGTTCTAAAAGAAGTGCACCTCAATCTAGTGTCCACTACAAAACTTCACGTCGACTCTAAATTGTCTGCTGCAAAGATCATGGCACCTGGTAACAGCGGAGAGAAATCATGTTAGTATCTTCCATACTTACCTGCATATTCCATCTCAAGTTTTCTCTGTGTTGTATATACACTTGTACTTGCTGCTGCAGATATGAAAGTTGGTTATGAGCACACGAGCTACACCATTAGTGACGTAAGACACCCAATAGAAATGTGTGTAGGGAGTAAGCTGATAGGAGTTGAAGCAAGTTTTGCCATCAACATAACGACAACGAGTGAGTTCACAACGTTTAGTTTTTACTTTGTTTACGATTCTCTTGTATATTATCGGTGCCTTTGTGTCCATGTTGGCTCTACAGCTGATATTCTTAAACCAGGCAACTTGACTTTGTATTTTTCACAAAATGCGACCAATCCGTATGTGGTTCAGTGCTACAATGCTTCAAGTGACCTTGGAGGAGTAGAAAACATATGCCAAAACTTCATCAGATGTCGAGATATTCGGATCTTGTCTCACTTAGTAAAAACCAGCGGAGACGAAAGCGTTGAGATAATAGAGAGCAGAGCAAAGGCTGAGGTTATCATTGAAATTCCAACAGAATGCAACTGTTCTGTGGTTGCATCATCATCGCCAACTCTCGGCAGTTTTTCCATCGCTGCGGTGGTTGTTCCCTCTGTTGTACTTGTGGTAGTGATAGGCGTTGGGGTAATTACCTCCATAGGAGTGTTCTTAGTCTGTCGGAGCAGGACCCAAACAAAAGGATATGTTCCCATTGAGTGAGTTCCAATATTTATTATACAGACTTGTGCTAATTATGTACAACTATACAGTACGAAAGAAAGCTCTATCAAGTTCATGTCAATTGGTAAGCCGATGTTGAGTGTAACTTGTGAAAGAAGTAAGAAGTTTAATTTTCAGAGAGGACTAAGAGATCCGTGCTGTCGGCACAACTGAGGAAGCAGCACAGGAGAATGATATTTTCCAGGAATCACGTCGAGGTATCTGGCACCATCGATGGTGAAGGTATGTATATACTAGAATGATTGGAACACAGTTCTGGAAAGCGAACGTGAGCATTTAAATATTTCATGCGCATAATTAGAATCAAATCAAACATTACGGTGTGTGTAGTGCAGGTCAGAAAAGTCTACATTCTGACGACCAAGTAGGCTCACTTCGGAAGCTCAACATTTAAAGCTACATTCTTTGCACAACTACTATTTTACATCACTGCCTGTTTAGAAGACCACTCACTGGTCCCCTTGCCAAAACAAACTTGGCACTCGAACGTAGCTATTATGCTGTATATATTATACAGATCTGTAGTTGGATAAGTCTGTGCTATTATGTGGATCTAGCAGAGATGTGTAGGCTTCCACAGTGTTTACCAACACGCTTTCACTGCATTATATATAACTACAGGAGAGTCGGGGTTAATCTATACGGCACACCTGGTTACCACCGCTGGAAAGGAGCTGGTTGTTGTCAAGAGTGGAAATGGTATACATATAATTATATCTCATTTATGGAGGAACCAAAGTATATGTCTGTTTTGCTTCTGTTGTAGCTCTTCTTTCTGGACATGATACGAAAAAGAGGGCCAAGGAAGTGTCCGCCATGTTATCATTTGAACATTCTAATGTCATGTCGCTGATTGGGGTATGCATTGAAGGAGAGATGCCCCTACTAATTATGCCGTTCATGCCGAATGGGAGCCTGTTAGAGTTTTTGAGACACCACCAACAAGAACTATTTTTCAACTCTGCCACTGAGCCACAGGTAGTATATGCATTTCCTTACAATTATGTAAAGGCTTATAAGAGCACAGCAGTAATTATTGTTCACTGCCACCCAAAACAGTTGAGTATTCACTAGAAGTTTCTCAGAATTGGTGACAATCAGCGTGTATATATCAGGATACTTTCGAGGGAGAGCTTTCACGTTCATTGGCCAGCACAAGAATTTCGCACAAAATCCGATGATTGTGTGATGGATATATTACCCACATACAGTAATTTCACAAAGAATCTTTTGCAGTAGATTACTCTAAAACTGCTAACTGTTTCTCCCTCGAACCCTTTTTAAAAATACAATATTTCTGCCTCGAACCATTTTACGTGTTGCTTTACTTAAAAATATGTTTCTGCCTATTTTTACGTACTGCTAATTTTCTTCTCCCTTCAACCTTCTCACATGCTGCTGTATTTACTCCGTATGGCAGTAGTGTTTCTCGCGCCATTCTTTGTGTATATACAACTCGATGAACTGAGTCTTCTCCCAGGTTTCATCGGCTAGAAGCAAACTGCTGAATGTGTGTCGTCAAGTCGCCACTGGTATGGAGTACCTCGCGGCACACAAGTTTGTCCATCGTAACCTTGCAGCTAGGAACTGCATGTGAGAGAAAACAATGATGTGTCGAACCTCCAAAAACGGATCACTGTATTATTATTGGTCTGCAGGATTGATTCGTATGGATTGGTCAAAGTGACCGATTACTTTAGATTGACTGAGGACATTGTGTATGGTTCCAGCTACAATAAGGAGAAGGGAGAAGGTGGGAGTGAGGAGAAGGCACCCATCAGGTGGATGGCTCCTGAGAGCATTGAAAACGACATATACACTGAATCAACTGATGTGGTTAGTTAAGACTATTAAGACTTATAATATGTGACTGTGTATGCAGAAACCATTTGGCTTTTGATTCGTGTGTTCATATTATTATGGGCCTGTAGCTACTGTAAATATTTGGCACTTCGTGAGCTTAAGATTTTAACATAAGATGCTAGATCCTATAGATATGTAAAACAAAAATTACTATAACTGTCCTGAGTCGTGGTGACTTGTCTCCAGTGGTCATTTGGAGTGACGGTGTGGGAGATCTTCACTTGTGGGAGGATCCCGTACACTGGTATTCCAGCCATGGGTCTCCTGAAGGAACTGCAGAGAGGACAGAGACTGGAGAGACCTGACAATGAGGCCTGCAGTGTTGAAATGTGAGGGACATTCCAGAGCCACTTTAGGAAGTTGGCCCAGAGAATCTGGTGTGTATAGTTCCAGGAAGGAGGAAGTTAAAATGTCGGTGTGTACTTTTCTTTCTGTTTTAATACTGAGAATATTGTTAGACATGTGGTCACAGGATTGTGTGGGGAGGGTTGTCATGTAATGTATCCTGTGTGCCCCACTCATGTGTAGCTGAGTGCTCTGCCTAGACTGCACTGTGTCGTTGGTGTGAATCCCACCTAGCCAGGCTTTCCTTAGAAAAATAGTTTTCCCGAGTTGTTTGCTTTTCCTTGTGAACCGTTGATGCTTGCATGATTGTTTATGAGAGTGTGTAATGTGTACGCATGTTTGTGCAGCAATGGGTACATTGTTTGGTTTGTCTGTGTTCTCTATTTTTAGCATAGCTAACTCAGTATCCCCAACTCTTCAGATACGAGATTATGATGTTGTGTCTGTCGCTGGAATCTCGCGTTCGCCCAAAGTTCAAGAGTTTAGTTGTGAGGTTGAGTGGTCTCTTACAGAGGGACTCTGGCTACCCTCAGCTATCAGACCACTTCCTCTGCTGGAAACAGAGTTGTCCTCGACAGTTTACAGTGACTTTTGTACCAACTCTGTAGTGAATGACTGTAGTCGTATTGTGCTAGCTATAGCTATTATGATACATCAAGAAGCGTTCATGTGTCCACGTAGCTAGCATCGTGGTTCAAAGGATGGGTAGTAGTTTTTATTAAAGACATCCACGGACTAGATAATGAGGTTAGTTTGTGTATATAGCTACACACACATTGTAAAGGAGGAACTGAAACAATGATGACTAAAGGCAGTTAAGAGAGGATGAGAAAAGAAGCTAAAAAGGAACCAGAGCGTACATAATAAAAGGGTACATGGTGACTGGATGTCCATAAGTCGATGAGTCCAAATACATGGACACTCCTCCACTTTTGTATACGCATGCGCGAAAAACAGCGGACGAAACGGACGGTTCAGCGCAGTGTGTGTGTGTGTGTCTGCGAGACTCTTTGACCGGTGAGTGGTGCAATTATGCCTATATAATTATGTTGTCTCTGTATTTCTCCTTTTCCAAAGTATTATTTTCCAGCGGATAAAGATTCTCCATGAAGGGCGAACGCGCACGGGTGTTCCGACTCGCGTGCACGGCTTTTTACCTACGAAAAAGTTGACCTTGGAACTATAACACTGCGTACACACGATAGCTAATGTAGTTTCTCTGAGCGATAACTAAATGTAATTTCTCTCGGGGTCATAGCAAGTAGAACTACTATAGCCAGGCATGCACCAATATTAATTTTTAGTGTGCTTGAAAGAGCTTTTTCGTCAAATCTTCAGTCTTGATGTATATAGCTATTTTGATAGGACAAGGCAACAAAGGCCGCATGCATTCCCAATGTACCCCTCTTCTCTGCGATTGTTTATTCTCCTACATTCCCTTTCTCCTTAGCTTTAGTGTTTGAGCGTCTTACTTCACACTGTCTTCCCCTCTTGCAATAATTATACAGGGATCATCAAAGTGCATGCTGTATATTATATGTGAGTTCTTGATTCCTGTCGTCCAGTTGCCAAGGGTGAAAGTTTGCTAATTCACACTCCAAAGGGTTGATAACCCCCTTTTTTGGCTCAGCTTCAACAATTCACTTTGATATAACCCCAGGGTTGTCCATTCTGCTTTGAGTTGGTTACACTCCCCCATTGTGGTATGTCAGGCTGGGGAATGGCACATCCAGCCACTATAAATGGAATTGCTTTAGTTCTCATATCCTTCTCTGTAGAGCCTGACAACCTTTCAGGCATAGCAAATCAACTCTTTCCTATATAATACCCAGGAGTAGGATATAACCAATATTATTATACATACCCCTCAAGAGGAGGGATGCATGGGTATAATAGACATTTATAATTAAATAGCTCAGTATCACACAGGATTCTAACTCTTCTCTGTCCTTCACAGGTTTTAGTTTCTGGTCAGAATGCATGCTTTACCGTGGACCCTGCTAACTTCGTGCGTTTGCATCACAAATGTTTTGCAATACGGTAAGGTCACACTGAGTCAGAAATGGGATATAATGCTCAGCCATAACTTTTCCACGCAGGACTATCTCAGATGTGTTACAATACAACTGACTGTGTTGGAGAGCCAGTATACAATGGTACTGCTGAAGATTGCTGTGCCCTAACTGGCAGATCAATTCTTAATGACAGTAACTGTACAGAGCTACAGTGTTCAGGTATAATTATTATACCTACATGGATTAATATTATATGTGCATTCTTAATCGGGACTAATGTTGGATTGTAATTTTAAGCGTTCTGGTGTATATATTGTTTTTCGTACTCAAAGCCATCCGTATTGTTATATCGCACTTGGTGTTGGATATTTTTTTCACACAGTTGACTGTGAGTGGAGATACACAGAGTATGCAGAGTGCTCTGCCATTTGTGGTGGAGGAACGCAAGAAAGACTCCCAACCATAGTACAACCTGAACTCTTCGGAGGCCGGCCCTGTCCACCGTTTGTGTTGGATCGTATACCAGACACCAGACTTTGCAACAGCCTTCCTTGTCCTGGTAAAGAGTCACATTAATGTCTGCTACTATGACAGGGATGGCTCTAAGCCCAGATGAACTAGAGCACTGTAGAGCACATACCCTGTACACTCTAACAGACAGTTCACAAATAGCGTCGCCTGCGCATAGAGGTACCATTTGGTGAGACCAAACCCAAGGATTTGAAGCCTGATTACTAACCCTTGTGGGAGATTTCCATCGTTTCAAGCATAACTAAGCCAGATTGTGTTCGGTCTTCATTACAACTCACTTATAGCTACCTGTATCTAGCAGTAGCTCTTCTTGCAGACTACAGATGTGCAGACCAATCACATCGGGGAGTTGCTGCTAAGACTGTGCATCATGCAAATAATTATTGTTACATTGGTAGCATGTCATTATCACTACAAACGTATCACAAGGTGTGCCTTTGCTATATAGTGACAATTTCCCTCGAGCTAAACAATGGAATATTATTCAAAGCGTTTTTTGCCGTGTTCACACAGTTGACTGTGAGTGGAGATACACAGAGTATGCAGAGTGCTCTACCTCTTGTGGTGGAGGAACGCAACAAAGACTCCCAACCATAGTACAACCTGAACTCTTCGGAGGCCGGTCCTGTCCACCGTTTGTGTTGGATCGCATACCAGACATCAGACCTTGCAACAGCCTTCCTTGTCCTACTAGTAATTAATAATAACATCCACTACAGTTGGGCCTCAGCATAATGATTCGGACAACAATTTTTCCCCCATTATTTAGCGGTATATATAATGGTAACGTCAGTTGGTCCATGGGAATAAGTTCATTATAGAGAGGTTTTCGCTTTATCGGGAGTCTCACTGCAGCATTTAACGATGGACTTCAATAAACAAGGGTGTGGTTAAACAGGAAAGTTACACAAAGCTACATGACACTGTCTTAATCATAAGAGTGCACGAGTCTCTCTACATTGGCAGCGGCTGTGATTTTGTTGGAAGTATAGAGATGGTGCCATGTAGTATAGTTTTAGCAACCTCTCGTTTCTTGGTGTTTTCAACCCCCTCTATACCCCAGAGCTATTGCCCATTAGTCCACATAATATATGTTGTTTGAAGCGTAAGACAACCCATTTTTGAAAACAAATTTTGTTTTATTTCAGGTTGTAATACTGGAGAAGTAGCTTGTCTTGTTAGTGGCAGAGTTGTGTGCATTCCTGATGCTAGTGATCCAGATAAGGACTGCATTACTCACAATAATGTGAGGGAAACTGTTTTGTAACAATTTTCACGGTGTAACATTTGAACGCAGTGGTTTCAATATCAGCCAGTGTGCTGAACTGTTGGTACCCCAGTCGGCTGGCTTGTTCCGCGTGGTGGCGGCAAATCTAACAGGCAGACAAGAAGACACACACACACTTACAAACCAAGTACTGTAATTCTTGCTCCACGTACGTGCCGAGGGTTAAAAAAGAGTAGATCAGCAGCAATAAGATCTCTCCGATGTATCGCGCCGTGGAATATCTAGAAGCTTCGTTGATGCATTTGGCCCACATTTAGCAAAGTATGTGAGTAGTGAGTAATGCCTTGTCAGTGACCTCTCCTACTCCAGATCTAGTACTTCTGCTCAGGTGAAAGACTTTATAGCTGCAAACAAATAAGAATAATGTGCCAGTCTGAGAGCTGTTTTAATTATCAAAGACAGAGATGGGCAAGCCTTTGCATTACCCACCAATTAGATAACATGTTGACATGACCTTAATTCACTTTCTGTTTTTGACAGGACAATTGTAAATTTGTACATAATACCGACCAGTCTGATATTGACCGTGATAGAGTTGGAGACATTTGCGACAATTGCCCACGGTTGTTCAACCATAATCAGTTAAACTCTGATGTTGATTTGCTTGGAAACGCTTGTGATATTGATGACGATAACGACGGGGTCAACGATCAATTTGATAACTGTCAACTGGTTGCTAACCCTGACCAGGGAGACTGTGATGGTGATGGTGTAGGAGATGTCTGTGACAACTGCCGAGGAACCCCAAATACTAACCAGGCTGACACCGATAATGATAGAGTTGGAAATGTTTGTGATCTTGATGATGATAGTGATGGAATCATTGATGAACGAGACAACTGTCCATTGGAACACAACAGTGACCAGTATGATTTAGATGATGATGGAATTGGATTCGTTTGCGACCTTTGCCCATTCGAACACTACCACGACTACGACTACGACTACGACTACGACTACGACTACGACAATGATAGCGTCCATTATTGCGACGACAATTGCCCGTTTTATCATTATAATCCAAATCAGACAGACACTGATGGAGATGGAGTTGGAGATGTTTGTGACAACTGTAGGTTTTACCCCAACCCACACCAGTTGTCCAGTGATCCAAGTACACATGGAAGTCTCTGTTCAACCCTATACCAAGCCCAGGGTCAAGATAGTGCTGATGACTTCTGTATTGACACTGCTAATCCAGATGAAGTTGACACTGACTCAGATGGTGATGGGGACTACCGTGACAATTGTCCACTAGTGCCTAACCCGGACCAGACTAACTCTGATAGCGATAGGTTTGGAGACGCCTGTGACAATTGTCCATACCTGCTTAACCCTGGCCAGGTGGACTATGATGGTGATAGGATTGGGGATGTGTGTGACCCACATGTTTCACCTGACAATGACCATGACACTGTTTGTGAGTTACAAACACACATTTTGGAAAGCAAAGAGGAAGCATAAACATGCCTATATAGTTGCCACCTAATGCAGACGTGCCTATAAGCTATTTCTACTTATCAGTAATTGATGCACCTGTCCTGTTCCGCCTCCTATAGTGTCCCTAAGTGTACTATGCCTTTTGGTTATAAACATTGCCACCTAATGCAGACGTGCCTATGAAATTAATCATTACTGATGTGCCTGTCTCTCACTAAGTGTTGTATCCCCCACTCTAGTAAACAACAGAGACAACTGCCCTCATGTCAGCAATCCAGATCAAGCAGATACAGATGGCAATGGTGTGGGTGATGCTTGTGAAGGCTGTAAGTTTGTGTGAAACACAGAGATATATTTTGACAATAGCTACTCGCTTTTTGCAATGTAGCTGCAGTTCTAGGATTAGAGAGTGCGTTTGTAATGGTCAATGAAGATGCTGAAGAAGTTCAATTCTGCCTTGTCATCGAGCACCCAATGAGTGATTGTCCTCTCAGTTTCTCATTTGTGGTGTACATCTCTACTATTAATGGGACTGCAGGTATGTATGAGTTTGTATCTTATACCCAGTAGAGTGTGCAGAAAAGTAAAAGATCGCATTTTAATGCCATGTATTGCTATTGTTCTGTTTTTGTTGTAAGTCCAGCATTTCTGCCATTTTTAACCCTCGGCGCGCATCTCGGCGCGCATGCGCAGCGAGGGTTACGGTAGTTGTTTCGTAAGTGTGTCTGTCAGTCTGTCCGTCTGTCAGTCTGTCTGTTACCACGTTTTCTGCCACCGCGCGCACGAAATCAGGTAAATAACGATATGATCGGGTTCAGTGCTACACTGGGTTGATTTTGAAAAAGGCGATTTTCGTAAAACTACTGTGTTTTAAAGTTATGGCGTGAAAACCAAGTGAACAAGCCAATATGTAAATTAGCACAGGTAACCTCGACCGCGTCCGTCGCTCTGTGTGTCTTGAAGGCACAACAAGTCACAACGAAGGGCATGTATCGACTCACGCATGCTATTTACTACTGTAGCTAGCCCGTGCCAGACTCTCCGCGAGCTACTAGCGGGATACCACGAGTAAAGGCATAAAAAACCCAGCCCATCAATTAGTGTTACCGCACATGCGCAGTTCGCCGAGGGTTTGCACTTTAATTAACCCTCGACGCGCATGCGCAGCGAGGGTTACGGTAGTTGTCCCGTAAGTGTGTCCGTCAGTTTGTCAGTCTGTCAGTCTGTCAGTCTGTCCGTCTGTCCGTCTGTCCGTCTGTCAGTCTGTCTGTTACCACGTTTTCTGCTACCGCGCGCACGAAATCAGGTAAATAGCGATATGATCGGGTTCAGTGCTACACTGGGTTGATTTTGAAAAAGGCGATTTTCGTAAAACTACTGTGTTTTAAAGTAATGGCGTGAAAACCAAGTGAACAAGCCAATATGTAAATTAGCACAGGCTTACCTCAACCGCGTCCGCTCGCTCTGTGTGTCTTGAAGGCACAACGAAGGGCATGTATCGACTCCCGCATGCTATTTACTACTGTAGCTAGCCCGTGCCAGACTCTCCGCGAGCTACTAGCGGGATACCGCAGGCATAAAAAGCCCATCCCATTAATTAGTGGTACCGCACATGCGCAGTTCGCCGAGGGTTTGCACTTTCATTAACCCTCGGCGCGCATGCGCAGCGAGGGTTACAGTACTCTGTCTGTCTGTCAGTCTGTCTGTTACTCTTCATCTCACTTCTCGAGTGTTCTTTCGTCTCACAAAGGATACCACCTACCGAACGGGCGATGAAGGTCAGAAAATTTGTGGGGTTTTCTCTGAAACTGCTCCGTTGCAAAGCTAGAGCGCGAAAAAGCCAATATGCAAATATGAAACGGACGGGATGGCTTACCGCGGTCTGATCGATCCGCGTGCTCTGCGTACTTCGGAGGCACCAGAAGATGCAACGCAGGGCGTGTATCGCCTCTCGCATGCTATCTAGTAGTGTAGTTAGCCCGCATCAGACTCTGCGCGAGCTGGCAAGAGACCACGAGTAACAGCTAAAACTAAACCTAGCCCATCAATTAGTGGTACGGCGCGTGCGTTTACTTACGCTTGCGCGTCACTGTGCGCCGAGGGTTTGCACTTCAGTGCTTTTCATTTGATTAGGTTTTGAAGAGTTCTATGTACAATGTTACTGCCCACCGCTTACAGATAAGATATGTGTTAATTCTAAACTTTCACAGCTTGTGAATCAACCTCCTGACACCCATTATAAGGCACTGTTACTGCATTGCTATTCGATATCTTCTCCCAGTAACTGTTGTATACCCCACATACTACAGAGTCTCCAGGAGACTTTAGTGTCATCAGACATCAAGCAGAGCTCTTTCCAAACTGTTCGAAATCTCTCTGTGTGAATGTATCCGTCCATGATGACTCTGTTCTGGAACTCAATGAGACATTTGATGTGTTAGTGGAACTAGGGACAACTGCTGCCAGAACTAATGTATCTCTGAATGAAACAAGACTTCAGATTACAATTGTGGACGAAGAAACAGGTCAAACAAGACATCAGAATCCGTTTTGGTTTCTACTGTAGCATATGCATATACAATATTCTGTCACTTAACTTCTCAGAGTAAACATTGTAACAAAATCCATAACAGCCCTTCTGACAATATATATTATAATGCCCTTCCATGGTATCTCTCCATAACAGCTCCTGTGTTGGTGCAACTGGAAGAGACAGGATACACTGCATCAGAGAGCCACCGCATCGCCAATATCTGTGCAATCATAGCCAACAATTACTCAGACTGTGCAGTGGGATTCGATTTTGAAGTGATTCTTAAAGTTATAGCCACCACTGACGGTATGATGCATAACAAGATTCAGTACTTGCTATAGTTCAACGTTTCACAACACTTGAATTAATAAATCTCTCCTTTTTTCATCAGATTTTGCTCAAACACAAGTTCCACTGGAGTTTGATGCTTGCCAAGACAAAGCTTGTGCTACTGTACAAGTGCAGGATGATAGTATAGCTGAGGCAGATGAATCATTCCCAATCATGCTGGAGAGATCTGATACTTTAGACAGTAGGATTGAGCTGTCAGCTTCTGCTGCACACCTAGGCTATCATAGGTGACGATGATGGTAGGTAGGTGTGATTGAGTATACGTATATGTGAGAAATCTGTCTCACACATTCACACAAACACTTTTTCCAGTTATGATTGTTGTGGTTTAGCTCCACAACCTACACGGGGACTGAGACAGATGAGCATGTGTACGGTGTTCTTGTAAGTGAGAAGTCTTAACACCCTCCTTATGGTGCGAGCCGTCAGCCATTCAGCATCACCATGATTACCTAAAGAAGGTAGCTAGATGAATATGTGACTATCTGACCATTGACTTCAACCGGGCGTATATCTATAGTGCAACATACTCTAATCTTGCTGCATTGTACTTAGTTTCAGGAAGTGAAGTGTCCAAACGGTACTCAGTGCGATGTGCAATAACGAGTTACAATTTAAGAGACGACTCAGAAATTTGTCATCGAGTACACAATACTGAAGATAAACGTCTGGTAGAATTGATGGACAACACCTCACAGTTGAAGTCCGTCTTAGTGTGCACCTCTACGGATCGAACTGCTAGATATTAACTCATCGCATGTCCAGGCAGGCAACAGACTCGAATGCTGAATAGCAGAGATGCCGGAGACTGTGTAGTTATACTGGCACAAAACCACAGTGACACACACAAATGGTGATGTTTTTTACAGGTGTAAAGGTTGAGTAATGAGTTAAGCAGCTATCCTATAACGCAATGGATGGGATCACGAAGTAGGTCACTAGTAGTACAACTCCAGGACATTGACGAAAACATACTACAAAGTCACATTGACTAAAATAGCTAGTAAGTGAATTACCCTCTCTCTTTCGGTGATAATGCTGCTTTTGTGTGGCGTCATCAGACTTGTACACGAGTTAATCAACAGCTCGTGAGATAGTTTGAATTTTCCGTAAACTTACTCATCCGTCTCAGACAGAGTGCTTTAATATTTCAATTGAATGTTGGTGTGGTGAATATCGCTGTGGACTACTTCGTACTGCAGTGGAATTGAAGGCATGCTGTTAACTGGTAATATTGGCAGAGACTCCACGTGTACATGTGATGACACACCAGATCCTACTGTACTATGAAACTACCAAGGACAGATGTGCAATTCTATATATGTGCGCACACCTGACCAGCAGACAGCACTGACAGTGGATGTTACGATTGCAGCAATCTCATCCTTCAATACTGGCGTCATACACTAGCTGATGCCATTGTTGTGGCAGCTGAATGCTATATTTTAGAAGAAGAAGAGAAACCACAACAAAAGACTTTCTTGATCTCTGACGGGTGAGTAATCAGTTAGTTCTGCTGTCAAGCGTATATATAATAAATCCACAGGTAGGTATAGAGGTGCAAGCTCTCAGTTCTGAAACACAACTATGTCTCTCTCGGTGAGATATATTAACTAAAAACCTTTGTACAAAATACAATTTCCGAAGTGTTTTAGTGGGGCACGCTTGGTGGACCAATCAGAGCCGCTGTCATGTGACTTTTGAGTTGCCCATGTGTTGTCCTAAATCTCTGTGCTTGTAATAGGCGATGTGATACGGACACACTGTCTGTAATATGACTTAATGCTAAGGAACAAAGAAAAGTTATATTTGAAGTGATGTGTAACGAAAGAGTATATAATGATGCTCTGAAGAAGAATAGAAAGTCACTACTGCGAAGACAAACACAACAGTTATAAACATGTGTGGCGTTTAGAGAACCCATCCTATTGTACAGGTCAACCAAGAGATCTTATCTGTCCGAGCAACTCAAGCAGCGTTGAGGAATAAGTAGAATGGGATTTTCCGAGAGATCTTGGAGATACCAGTACAGTCGGTGCCAAGGGTGTTGGATTAGCCGGCTTTCCTGGCAAAGCACTAGCACAGTGATTGATTGTTTGCAGGAGAGAGTCTAGGGATGGTGTACAAGGGAATATCTAGAACTACTGCATTAGGAAGAAAATGGGTGCTGTTAATAACGGTTAGGAAAAGGTTATTCATTGCTCCGCAAACAAGTAAACAATAATTATTGTAATGTGTCTTTGGATTTGCAGCCCACTCATTTTCCAAGTGGTGATATGGAACGACGAGACAGTAAAGAGAGTGGCTACCATGTATATCATGTGAGCATGCTCAGCCCAACGGTCATGTACTCTGTGGGAGTGTAGTATGAGAGGAGAATGGAATACCCTATGACTGCCAAATTATGCATTTATGTCTATCTAATGCGATGGTTTTGGAATGTTGTTTAAGCACGCACACAAGGAGGAAGCTGCGGTGCATTAAGTGCAGACAGCGCCACAGGAGAGTTGAGTCTGTATTTTCATACTATTCATTAGGATATGATATCAACACACCCTCGACAGATCCATATTCAGCCACGAAAAGTCTTTTAAATATCTGTCACCAATCACAAAGGGTATGGAGTATCTAGGCCATGGATAGAGAAGTTTGTCATCGCGATAGGCAGCTAGGAACTGCATGTAAGACAGCTTGTTGTTGAGGCATTACTCTTTGGCTAATTTCCACATAGGATTGACCGTGATGGAGTGATAAGGTTGCAGATTTTGGACTACTGAGGACATGTATGGGACCAACTACTTCCGTCGGGAGAAGGGAGAGGGTGGGAGTGAGGAGAAGGTGCCCATCAGGTGGATGGCTCCTGAGAGCATTGAGGAAGACATCTACACTGAGGCCACTGATGTGGTACGTTCAGATAATACACACCATGACTACTGCTCTGAGGTGTGGTGATTTGTCTCCAGTGGTCATTTGGAGTGACAGTGTGGGAGATCTTCACTTGTGGGAGGATTCCATACACTGGCATTCCAGCCATGGGTCTCCTGAAGGAACTGCAGAGAGGACAGAGACTGGAGAGACCTGACAATGAGGCCTGTCTGGATGAAGTGTAAGGAACCTCACATTTACATCACAAAACTGGACCTGGTTAAAATCTCTCAACAGATATGAGATCATGATGAGTTGCTGGTCACTGGACTCCCATGCTCGTCCGCTGTTCAAGGATTTGGTGGGTAGCTTCAGTGGTCTTCTGGAGAGGGAGTCAGACTACCTGGATTTGTCCCAGTCTCTCTGCTGGAAGGAGACTGTCTCTCACACCCCTCCACCCTCTTCTCCACCTACCGCTGCTCTTCCTGTCACCCAGGAACAGGGAATTGCTGCGGCGGAGAACGAGGCTGAAGATGAAGTATGAGATGAAAACTACAGATCAAAACGTCCTAGAACGTGACGTGTTATAAATTACATGTACTGATAAGTCTGTGATAAAGTAATGTATCTGCTGATTGTTGGAAATGTACCTATGTTTGTACAGCATAGTGTCCCACCTTTTGTGGGAGTGCAAAGTTCACAGCACACAACGGTATTTGCAATTACTGCATGGTTGAATCCACTCTGCAGGCCCTCCAGCTATTTTTCATATTCCCCACGCGTGACAGCACCACTGGTTAGGAGTTTGTATTTAGTAGATGCGGAAGCATCTGTTGATTCTACGCTAGTGGCACCACCATTGCAAAACATCCGAATTTCCAAAATTTAAAGGTGTAGCTTATAATGATTTTGCCATATACACTTAATGCTACTTGATCTTTGTGTATAAGAGGAAGTTTCATCTGCTCAGGGGGTTTGAGTCTCTACATGTGCATTTGCAGAGTGACATCCAGTTTTGCTCAACTTGTACCATTGGCCCTCGTTTCCCAAAGAGTAGCGTATAGTTCGGCATAGCACTGCAGCCGTAGACGTCTGTCTGGGGAGATGGAAAGCTGGCCCAATTGGTTTTGAATTTAGAATTTTTTTGCCAAAAACAATACCTGGTCTACTTCAAATAGTTCGGAACATTAAGTCTATTTTAATGGATGGTTGGTAATGTTTGCATGCGTGCCATAGACGTCTGTCTGGAGAGATGGAGGGCTGGTCATACACATGTTCTACTTCCGTATATATAGCCCTTTGTTCCGCCAGTGATGCAGAATGGTTGGTAAAGGAGGTGTCTTCCATGCTGTCGTTTAAACATACTAATGTCATGTTTCTGGTGGGAGTATGTCTTAATGGAGACATACCCCTACTTATTATGCCATTCACGAGCAACGAGAGTGTATTAGAATTTGTTAAGCATCATAGAGATTAGCTGCTCTGCATCGATGCAATAGAAATACAGGTTGGGTCACCTAGCTGGAGGAAAACTGGCGTCCCAGTGCTACGAGCGAGGGACCCCTTGTAGAATCAGACACTAGTAGGCCAACTCTGGCTTGAGACGATGGTGGTGAGCCGAGTGAAACTGAAAATGCTGGAACCACTACGAGAGAGAGCTCACCAGCTGTAGAACCACCTCAACGGGTGGAGGAGTCACCTGCTGTTCCCGAGAGTACAGTCAGGAGATCTACTAGAGCCAGACAACCACCTCAGCGCTATGAGGAGGAAATATTTTGACTGGTAATCATTTGCTTTATGTTATGTAATCACCTTTTCTTTTGGTTATGTGTTTGTACCAAAAGGGGGAGGAGTTGTGATGTATTGACTAGTATGTATGTCTTGTTGTATTGCGCATGTCTGTGTATGACTCACCTTTACGTCATCACTGGGTATAAAACGTGCATGCATGCTATTGTAAGTCAGTCGCATAGCTATCAACTACTGTTGTACACACTGAGCTCATTGATTATTTTTCATATCTCCTCGGTTACTCGTGCCGCGTGCAACGATCCACGACACAACAACAGCCATCCACCACTCAGTACTTTACATCTACCACCATTTAAAGACTTACCAACTGCATGGTAAGGATCAACAACTGGTATTTACCTTAAGATGTATAATGAGTGGTTTTACCACAGAAGAAGCCACTACATCTTCAACAACTGCCCAACTCCACTCTTTCCCACATAGGAACCTCACGATAACCCAACTTCACTGTTTGAAGATAAGTTTTTTCTTAAGTTCTGTTCTTTGTTCTTTTTTTTTTTATTAACTTCACTGTGTTTATCATAGGTGGCCCTCTCAAGATACAATTAAGGTTCCTGATGATTGTGCGTGGGCGTATGTTTCAGATATTTTTTCACCTACATTTCAAGAATCATTCCAGACTTAGAGGCGTTACTTCAACCTCTAGAGGATACCATTCGCTGCTCCTTCTTACCAACCTTAATTAACAGGAAGATCTCCTCCAAATGAAATAGAGAGGAGACTCTTCGCACTGCCCTGCCGACTGGGTGGTATTGCCATTGCCAATCCCACGAAGGTTTCAACTTCAGAGTACTTAGCCTCAAGGCAGGTAACTAAACCCCTGTCTGACCTCATAATACAACAGAATTATGAGTATGCATTCGATGCAATCGAGGCACAGCTTGTAGCTAAATCCGTACTTCGGAGATCAAAGCGGCAGCTACAAGTAACAGAGGCTTCTCATCTTAAATCCAACCATCCAGCTCATCTCCAGTTCTCTATGAGTCTGTCACAAGAAAAATGGTGCCTCCAGTTGGTTGACCGATAGAGGAGTTTGGCTTTACCCTGCACAAGGGAGCTTTCCGTGATGCACTCGCTCTCCGTTACGGATGGAGCCCTACCATGGTTCCATCTCACTGTGCATTGGTCAGCCATTCTCCGTTTCGCACACCGTCTCATGCCATATGGGAGGATATATACCCTTCAATCAGGCACAATGATTAGAGATCTCACAGCTGATCTTTTGTCTGAGGTTTGCCACAGTGTTTCCACCGAACCTCATCTTCAACCAGTTGATGGTGAAGTTTTGAGAGGTGCATCTGCCAATGCTTGTGATAGTGCTCGCTCGGACATAGCTACAAATGAGTTTTGGGGGGGGAAGATTTGAGAGAGCATTTTTTGATGTCAGGGTCTTTATTCCCCACGCTCCTTCAAACCGTCGACTCCAACTTACCACTTGCTATCGCCATCATGAGAATGTAAAGAAACGTGCCTACGAGCAAAGAATCAGAGAAAATTGAACATGCTTCTTTGTTCCACTCGTTCTGTCTGTCACTGGTGGTTTGGGTCGCATTGCCACAACAACGTACAAACGTCTTGCCTCAATGCTCTCGTCAAAGTGGAACCAACCCTACTCCACCACCATGTGTTGGCTTCGATGCCGCCTCTCCTTTGCTCTTCTCCGTGCCTCCATCCTCGCTATCAGGGGTGCCCGCTCCTCCTCCAATCGTGTTGCTTCGGTAGCTCCCACTTCTGTTGATCTGGTGGCCGCAGAGTCCCAGGTGTCAACAGTGCCGTGAACTGTTCTCTCTATTCCTTCTTAAATATATTTTTGGGTTTCTGTATATTTGCTCTATATTTTTTGGTTTTCTGTATATTTGCTCTATTTTTTGGTTTTCTGTAGAATTATTTGCTCTGTGGTCGAACGGCGCGATTTTTCTATACTAGTAGGCGAATGAATGGCATTTTTGGCGAGCGGGAGCGAGCACACAATGACTCTATTTGCACGAGCCATCCTACAACTTGAACCTTAGAATCACGAAGATTGGAAAGAGGTACATAATAGACAGCCTCGGTCAGGTATCGAAGAGCGCAGCGAATGCCAGCAAATAGAGGAGAGTTGTTTGGCTGGCTATATTTCGCATCGATATGACAGTTAGGCGACGCTGATACAAACGAGCCTCTCTGCTCAGGAGTCTCACGGGCGCGGCGACGAAGATCAACTTCCCCGGACTAGTGTATATGCACATGTATACGCACGACATCATCACAGGCAGCATGTGAAATTTTGAAATCCTTTCGGATAAACGAGGATAACCGGACCCTACCTTTCCGTATCCTCAACGCGCATGCGCACTAAAGTTTACAGGAGACGTTCTGTGTCTATCTGTCTGCCGACGCTTATTCTGGCACTACAGGCTATATACGAGGCGGCCTATTGGCGATAGCGGCTTCAGGATTACACGAGCCTGAAAATTATAAAGACGATATTTCTGCGGCTGTGTTCGAGAGATGCACTGGCTTACCTTGATCTGATCCGCTAGCTCTGTGTACCTTGGAAGTCACAACGAAGGGATGTATCGACTGCTGCATGCTATCTACGAGAAATTTTACGGTATCGCAGTGCGCTTAGTGTTGGCACTTTAGTGCTTTTCATGATAAAAGCAGTCAGAACACAATATTATAGCAGTAGCTAATAGTTATGGGAGTTGGAATTTAATCTGAGAACTTCATATAGCTTAAACCTCAAGAATATCTGGGTAGAGCCATCCATCATCCCAACACTGCAGTGTTAATATGTTTCTCTCTTATTAGCATTAGTACTTAATGTAGCTACTGAAGGTCCCAGACCACACCGCGAGGAGGTTGGAGAGAACGTGGTCCAAGCGTGGAGGCGTGTGTGTGTATGAACAATATGATATGGAAGAAGTGTGCATGAGAAGATATACAAAAACTATATAGCTACGGTGCAGGACCTAAGGATGCGAAGGGACGACTAACTAGGATGCGAAGGGACGAGTAGCTACGGTGCAGGTGCAGGAACCTAACTAGGATGCGAAGGGACGACTAACTAGGATGCAAAGGGACGACTAACTAGGATGCAAAGGGACGACTAACTAGGATGCGAAGGGATGACTAGCTACCGTGCGATAAAGGTTCCCGACGATTGTGCGTGGGCGTACGTTTCAGATACTTTTTTCAATAGCACAGCTAAAACGCTCGTGATTTATAGTGAATTTAGGTACATTTCCCGGATTTTTCCTACCTTGTTTTCCTAACTCATTAGCATATTCATATTCCTCCTCCATACATTCTCTATGGGAGAGCGCGACTCACCCAGGAGCGAACGGTCCGTCTCCATTATGCGCAGTGGCTTTGTTTGCCTGCTTCGGTACGCGGGAAGCTAATTGGCGTGACCGGGTGGCAAAGGTCAACGTGAAACAAAACTTGGCCACGCCTATTTTTCGGGACAGCTCTAATACGCCTGCGCGTGCCGCAGGAGGCAGCCATTGCGCATAATGGAGACGGACCGTTCGCTCCTGGGTGAGTCGCGCATGGGTTTTCTCTCCCATAGATAATATATGGAGGAGGAATATGAATATGCTAATGAGTTTGGAAAACAAGGTAGGAAAAATCCGAGAAATATACCTAAATTCACCATAAATCACTAGCGTTTTTGCTGTGCCATTGAAAAAATATCTGAAACATACGCCCACGCACAATTCTCCGGGATCTAAAACCCAAGCCCATCAATTAGCAGTACCGCGCATGCGCAGTTCGCCGAGGGTTTGCACTATCTTCAGGCACATCACCTCATGTAGCCTGACTCTGATGAAGATCTGATGTGGCTTGTAGGGAGCTAATAGTGTCACTTTTGACTGCATCAAAATTAATCAGTGAAGCTTTTAAATTTCATAATAGGCCAGCACAGTCATAAACATGCATCTAAATCTCTCTCTTCTCTTCGCTTTGCTTGCCTCCCTCTGCAGGCTGTAAAAATGATTCCCCAATGCTCCCGACCACAAACTCTGCTTGGTCTAGAGTAGTTTGTCAGCAATAAATCGTTTGAGTGAGACATTATGAGTTTTCAGACCCGCCCTGGCAAGAATTTTCCCCAGGAAATTGTTATTGCCTGTCAATTTTGGTTTTAGCTACATTGGTAGTTGTAGGTCTTACACACACACACACACTCACGGAATTTGTAGTGATAGTTGAGTGTTATTACAGGGCTTAGTTACTTTGTAGTAATCATTAATGGTCAAACAAACAGTTGTGTAGTAGATACCCTGATACGTAGCACATATAGCTAGCGATTTCAGAAGGTCCACTTCCACCGATGCACTATCACTATCACTCTCATTTAGGCTCAAACAATTTGCGCGCTAATTGTGAATGACTAATATGTCAAAATGAAAAGCACTACAGTGCAAACCCTCGGCGAACTGCGCATGCGCGGTACTGCTAATTGATGGGCTGGGCTATTTCGTGGTGGTCTAGTCTCCCGCTAGTATAGCTCGCGGAAAGTCTGACACGGGCTAGCTACAGTAGTAGATAGCATGCGGGAGTCGATACACGCCCTTCGTTGTGACTTCATGTGCCTTCAAGATACACAGAGCAAGCGGGCCCGGTCGAATGAGCATAATAAGTTACCGCATGCGCATTTTCCGCAGCGATAAAAATGCCCGACTACGCATCTTGAAGCGCTCTAGCTAAGCAAGGGAGCATTTTCAGAGAAAACCGCACAAACGTTCTGACCTTCATTGCCCGTTGAGTAGATCGTATCGTTTGTGAGAGACGAACAAACACTCGAGAAGTGAGATGTAGAGTAACAGACAGACAGACAGACCCAACTAACTACAGTAACCCTCGCTGCGCATGCGCGCCGAGTGTTAACTACTATTGAACGCAGAGGAAAGCTGTCCGCGCATGCAGTTATAATGTAATCAAATATCGTAGCTGCGAAAGGAAGTGACTCTAGCTGGTGTTCAGGCGGGCCAAGACCTTGCTATCTCTCGACTATTTATATGTCCAAGTGTGTACCACGGAGAACACTCGTAGCCCAGTGTGCCGTTCTGCGAAAGTGCTGACTCAGCGGGTTGACTGGGTTGCGTGGGCGAACATACGACTCTAAGGCGCACGTGACGTAAGCGATGACACATGCACAACCTCCTCTGTAATGAACGTGCACAAACAGTTGCTGCTGCTGCTGTAGCAACAGGAAATGACATAATTTTGTTGTAATAGTTTCTGAGCGCGCGAAGATCGCCGCGTCAAGAAGATGAGCAATTTACAACAGAACGCATTGTTGCTGGCTTCACTGTTATTTGCTGCTTGTGGTGCGATCAGGGAGATCGAACACCAGTTTGTTTCAGCAGGTACGGCAATTTTGTAACCTATGTAGCTACGCATGGTGGTACGCTAGCTACACTTGCAGAAACAGTGACAGAGACGTAGTTGACCCTCGGGGCGCATGTGCAGCGAGGGTTACAGTCCTTGGTCTGGGTGTCTGTCTGTCTGTCTTTTACCATGTTTTCTGTCACCACGCGCAACAAACCGGCCAAAAAGCGACACCAACGGGTTCAGCGCTACACCGGCTTCATTTTGAATAATGGCGATTTTCGTAAAAACACTAGGTTCTAAAGTTATGGCGTGAAAACCAAGTGAACAAGCCAATATCTACCGGGTCCGCTTGCTCTATGCATCTTGAAGGCACAAGAAGTCACAACAAGGCCGTGTATCGACTCCCGGATGCCATGTACTACTGTAGCTAGCCTGTGTCATACTCTCTACGTGTATATACTAGCATGCGCAGTTCCCCGAAGGTTTGCACTTCATTAGCTACTCGAAATTTCGTGGTTTGTGTCTTCTAGGTTTTTGTCTTTCACTTGAAAGCTCACTTGTGAGCTAAAAATTTTTTACATCGTTGATTCCGCAGACCCATCTACTCCCGGATCTATGGGAACAAAGTTCCTGGTAGGATTTATGCAAAATGTTCTCCCAAGAACTGTAGAGAGCCCTGTGCCTGATGCATACCTACTGGTGACGACCAATGAGACTGGAGTGGTGGAGTTTAATGTGACAACCATGTTTGGTGGTGTACAAAGGACCGACACATATACAGTGGATTCAAATGCAACAACACGAGTCAATTTTGCAGCTGATGATGTCTATGTGACAAATGTTCAGCAGAGGGATAAAGCCATTTGGGTGCAAACTAGTAACAAGAAGAAGATAGCTATCCAAGTTATAAATGATGAAATCCGCTCTACTGACGGATTTGTTGCTCTCCCATGCGATGGAATGACTGTACCGTCAGATTTTCGCACATATGAATATCTCATTCTCTCCACTAATCAAGACACGACAGGCCAGTCAGGAAGCACACCAAGATCCAGCCAGTTTCTTGTCATTACTTGTGATGATGACACACAGGTTGTTGTAACGCCATCAACTGCAATCAGTGGAAGTGGCGTCTTTCAACACACTCGATTTGGTCCAGGAGAATCACAAGCATCATCAAACTGGCGAGTAAACCTAAACAACAACCTAATACCTGCAAAACAGACGCTCTTGATCTCAATCACAAACGTAGACCTTACCGGGACTGTGGTACAGGGAAACAAGCCATTGGTGATTATTTCTGGTCATCAGTGTGGACAAGTTACTGAGAGAGTTACAGCATGTGACCATATGGCAGCTCAGATACCTCCACACACAACATGGGGCTACACGTTCCTGCTAAACCCTCTCAGTGGAAGACGAAGTGGAGACTTGTATCGTTTTGCAACCCTCCAGGACAACACTAACGTTACCATCACATGTGTGGATGCTGGAAGCAGTACTTCAACAGTAGAGCATACAACAACTCTAAATTCTGCACTGAATCCTAACTGGGGACAGTTTGAAACTCACTCAGAAGCTTGTGCTGACCCGTATGCTCCAAAATATTGCTGCTTGGAATCCTCCAATCCTGTCGTACTAGCTCAGTACAGCTATGGCTACACAAGGGATGCAACATGCAATGGAGGAGAGTTTGGAGATCCCTTCATGAGCGTCATTCCTCCAATAGTTCAGTATTTACACCTTTACCACCTTGTTCCAGTCAACATTTCATCTGGAACTATTGGCAATCATTTCTTCAGTGTCTCTGTTCCAATCAGATATTTCCAACCTGGCAGTATCATGTTGGACGATTCCCCATTGGAGCTTGATGCTACTCTGTGGCAAGCCATCTACTGTAGCACTGGAGAGATATGTGGATATGGCATTACAAAGGACTTTGACAATGAGTACCATTCACTCTTCCATTTCTGATGCCAATGCGGCCATTTTTGTTCACACCTATGGCTTCAGCATTCAAAATTCCTATGCCATAGCTGGTGGAATGGAGCTCCAACCAATTGCTGGTGAGAATTTTTATAGCCATAAATTTGGCGGTACTGCATTATTCATGATGTACCTGCCTTGGCCGCCCAAAATTTATGAATTTATGCAAAATTAGGTGACGCTAAGCTGAAATGTTTTCCTTTGCTATAGGTACAATTATATCCTGTGAGGTGCCTGACGACTGTGTGGTGGAAGGAAGATCGGTCACTGTGACCTGTACCAGATCTATTGACCTATCAGAACAGAGTAGGATTCGAGTCAACACTGAAGATGGATCTGCTGGGGGTTAGTACAATGGAACCTATTCTTATAACTAGCTATATTGTTGCTTTGCATATCAGCTCCAGCCGACTACACTACACTCAACATACCTGAGAACCGACCAAGCTTCTTTCCCGGCAATATTCTGAACTATAGAGGAGGAACCAGACAGGATTCAGCGATATCATTTGACATCCAAACTACAGCAGACGGTGATGATACAGAGCCTCCAGAGACATTCTTCCTCAATGTCTCTCCTGTGAGGACGGCCATTGTCCTGACACCACGAGTTCCCATTACCATTTGTGGAGGTATGAACTGATGAGATAGTTCTTGTCTAGCAATCCAGTCATACAACCACAAATATTTATCATGATCTTTGTGCAGCTACCCAAGATATACGGTGCCCTGATTTGACTGACCCTGCCAATAGTATGGTGATGGTTGCTGGAACCACTCCTGGTGATGCAGCTACTTACACCTGCAATGAGGGCTATAAGTTAGATGGAGTATCAACCAGAACGTGTGGTCCAGATGGTCAATGGAGTCCTGAGGAACCTAAGTGCTTAGGTAAGTAGATGTGCACCTGGAACAAGCATTATTCATAGGAATATTTAGGCAGCAAGTTGACAAGGGGGAGGGAAGAGTTAGCCGACTATTATTTTCCCCAGCCCTAGCAATAAATATAAATTTTTGGGAGCTAAACACCATGGTTCCATTATAAAAACCACCAGCAATGTGTCCAACCCCGACTGATCCTGCCAATGGTATGGTGATAGCAGAAGGTAACTGCGGGGGAGATACAGCCACTTACACCTGCAATGATGGCTATAAACTAGATGGAGCATCAAACACAACATGTGGTTCAGATGGTCAATGGAGTCCTGAGGAACCTAGGTGCTTAGGTAAGTGGGCATGCACCTGGAACAAACCTTATTCATTGACATATATATAGGCAGCAGGTTTACAGGGTGAGGGAGGGGAAGGACTTAAATAATTGTGGCCCAGCCCTAGCAATTTAGTTTTAGAGAGCTAACCACATGGTTCCTTCTCTATGTTATATTCAACTTCCAGCAATGTGTCCAACCCCGACTGATCCTGCCAATGGTATGGTGGTAGCAGAAGGTAACTGTGAGGGAGATACAGCTACTTACACCTGCAACGAGGGCTATAAGCTAGATGGAGTGGAAACAACAACATGTGGTCCAGATGGTCAATGGAGTAGTGATCGTCCTGTGTGCTTAGGTAAGTTATAATAAAAATATTTCACAACATAAATGTGTTTGCAAATATTATTAAGTTGCAATGTTACTTAAATAATCTATCATGCACAACGGTTCACCAAGAAAAATTTTGCTAAGTGTATATACCATTGACAAAAGGTTATTCATAAAAAAATAATTTTTTCAGTTACACGGAAGGATTAACATGGTGATTACTTTCTCCAGCTATATGTCACAGTTTGTCTGATCCCCCTAATGGTACGGTCGTGGCACAAGGGAACTGTGAAGGAGACAGAGCCGCTTTCATCTGTAACAGTGGATTCGAATTGGTTGGAGCTGCTATTGTAATATGTCAGAATGATGGAATGTGGAATAACCCTCAACCAGTGTGTCAGAGCCTTGCTGGTATATAAAAATTAATATTTACAATTGTGTTGAAGACAACATTTTTCGTCATACTAAATGTAGTGCCGGTAGTTTTCTTATGTAATAACAATTATGTAGGGGTGTTCAGGGGATTCGCACATAGTGAGGAACAGCAAAACAATATATATTCCTGCATTTTAAGGCTACGTCTTTGTCCTTAATATACGAGAGTAGATTACTTACTTACCGTGACATTTTTGCACAATAAAACTAACTCCAAACTTTTTTATTGTTTTAGTGTTTGTATCATTTGACCCGGTATCATACACTGTGACTGAGGGAGTGGATGGAGCTGTTGAATTGATACTAGTCCGAAGTGGAGATCTAAGTAGAGCCACTGTTCTCACTATAACAACTGCAGATGGTTCAGCAATTGGTATGATGTATAGCTACAAAACACACCCATGAGAGTTGATTTTTATTCTTCCAGCTGGATCTGACTACACTGCCACTACAATGAGAGTAACATTAATTGATGCTGTAGAAACTGTGGCTAGAGTCAGAGTACCAATACTAGATGACATTGTCATAGAAAGTATTGAGACATTTCTCGGCCTCTTGACCAGCTCTGAACCAAATGTCATGATTGGCGACGGGACTGCAAATGTGACAATTGTGGACAATGATGGTTAACACTTTCCATTTTCAAATAAAGGTCATTTTAGACATTCTTTCTTTCACTCAGGATGTCCCAGTCTACCAGATATCTCCAATGGGTCTGTGACAGTGTCTGGCTTTGCGACAGGAGATATGGCAGTCTACTCTTGTGATGAAGGGTATGAGCTGGATGGAGACTCAACTAGAGAGTGTTTATTCAACTCATCTTGGAGTGGAGAGGCTCAAGCCTGTCGCAGTTTTGCTGGTAAATAGAGCAATGTAACCCTAGGTATTCTGTTTTCTGTTTGTAATGACCACGTAGATCACTCATTTACAAACTCACCTCCATGATTATTGAACGAGTCTTACATAAGCTTTAATATTTTCAGTACAAATTCACAAACGAGAACATCACATGTATTTCACATGTGTTACTAGTGTTATTCTCCAAAAAATGCATTATAGTTTTACAATATCTCCTTGCTCCATTTCATTATCTTTTGCTCTTTCCTGATATTTTACCCTTCCTCCCTCCCTACTTACTTAGTGGAAGTGGGTTTCAATGAAACAGCCATTACTGCAATGGAGAGCAGTGGAAGAGCCAGTGCATGTCTGTTTGCCAGGTCTGTCAACCCTATTGAAGTCACCCTCACCGTGGTTACTACCACAACTGGAACTGCCACAGGTATTGTATAAGTGAGCATAGAGTATACCACATCATAAGACTACTCTACGCTACATGGAAGTCCAGTAAATATGCATTTCTTGTGCTTTTTTTGTAAGCAGCCACTAATGTGAAGTTGTAAATGAGGGTCTGCTCACTAGATTCTACAGATTTAATGTAGTTCCTTACATAATTCTATTTCACCCTACCCGTATACTTTCTTCCCTTTCTGTGATTTGTCTGATGTAGTTGTTTACTAGCCAGGCCCAAATATTCCCCTCCATTTTATTATGCGACTATACATCTTCTATCCACAGAGGGAGTGGACTTCCAGCCTGTTTTCGCCACTGTCTACCTCTCTATCAACTCCACAACACTACCTTGTATAGAAGTATCTCTCATAACGGGCGATGGATACGAGAATCCCGAGACAATCTCTCTGCTAGTGACTACGATGAATGACAGTGTTACTATAGTCCAGAACATGACAGAGATTACCATACTGAATTCAGATGGTGAGTTATAAACCTAATGATGAAATTATGCCTTTTGGCTCAATCTTTAGACTGATAAAGTTATTTTATTAATTTGCGTGTAGCTACACCTGAACATGAAGAAAGTGGATATTACCAGGTTTTGTTAGGAGTCAAACTGAAGTGACGAGTAACTGCAAAGCTATCTTTGCCAGCACTTGCTTGCTTGTACTACAGCACTGCAGATTGCATTCCTAGCTGGTTCCCAATCCTAGTAATACACCACAAGCCACCTGTTTATGTAGTAAACTTTCTTAGCAACAGCCATAAGTAATGCAGTACAAAATGAAAAGCACTAAAGTGCAAACCCTCGGCGAAACTGCGCATGCACGATACTGCTAAATTGATGGGCTGGGCTATTTGTATGCGTTTACTTGTGGACTCCCGCTAGTAGCGCGCGGAGAGTCTGACACGGGCGAGCTACAGTTGTAGATAGCATGCGGGAGTCGATACATGCCATTCGTTGAGATTTCCTGAGCCCCCAAGGTACACAGAGTGAACGGATCAGGTCACAGTAAGCCCAGTGTGATTATGCATATTGGCTTTTTCGCTTGTTTTCACAACATACCTCTAGAACGCAGTCGTTTCAGGAAAATCAACCTTTTATTTTTCTTGCTCGCATAATTCTGAAGCCGCTGATATAGCTAATAGGCCGCCTCGTGGCCTGTAGTGCCAGAATAAGCGTTGACACACACACACACACACAGACAGACAGACAGACAAACCAACTATCGTAACCCTCGCTGCGCATGCGCGCCAAGGGGTTAATGAGTCATGTGGAAGAATGCAGAATTCATAGAAATGGCTTTTGTCACTATTCGGAAAGTTTATTAGCTTCTAACGTGCCATTGACACATCAGGCACCTGACTTAGTATTGAAGGAAAGGCGTGTTGTAATTCTCATGCAACATCAATGTTTGAGTATGATATTATGATAAGATTGTTGCATGCAATAGACAACACCTAGAGTCTATATATTATCTTTTTGATTCCCTGCCAGCGATCTGCATAAGAGGTAGAAATATGTCAGACAGTTCTTCCTCCCTCCTGCAAGCACATGCACAAGATGAAGAGTCTAGGAAACACTCTGGTGTACTAATTAGCTAGACATGCGTTGTGGATTCTGCTCCGATGGAGCAGTTGTATATAATTATATCGCTGCTTCTCTAGCTATGTGCGTGCAAGGATTGCCCATAGTCAGCTTCGTCCTATACAGACCCTGTGGTCTCAAATAACTAGCCAAAGGCTGGAGCATGCAGCCTCACGTGTCACAGAAGCCACCTCTGATAGTGCGCGCAATTCTTTCTGCTAGCCAGGTGGTCTGCAAAGCTTGGAGCATTCAGCCTTATACTCAAACAAGAAATTCTTGTAGGACCCTTTACAGGCTTCCATTATAGCTGAGATTGATTACCAGCTGCTCTTAGACAGAAGTGGTTCTATGCTATGATGTGATCAGACTCTACATTATCTCTCCCCCTGGAGGATTACAGTGGAACGCAATGGTTCCACTATCCCAGTGATAAAGGTCCACCGTTATGTTAGCATACCTCACCTATCAAAACCAGTATCCACTGGGGACAATGCTCAGCAGAGAGGAAATTAAGTAAGAACTTTGGTTTATGAATACTCTGATACTATGCCCACGCTTGCTTACACAAGAGCACACAACCTAGCTACCAGCATCAGATGATGTGCAAGCACAGAACAGCATGTTTGTCAGCAATGGAACTTGCACTCCATCCCACATGACAGTTTATAGAGAATCACATGCTCCTTCTAAGTAGAGTGTTTGATGATGCATGTCATAAAGATGTTAAGGGTTAATGAAGGCATGTTGTCTTCCCTTCAGCGAAATTTCGAAATAAGGGAAGACAACATGCCTTCATTAACCCTTAACATCTGTATGACATACGTACATAGCATAGAGCCACTTCTGTCTAAGAGCAGCTGGTAATCAATCCCAGCTATAATGGCAGCCTGTAAAGGGTCCTATAAGAATTTCTTGTTTGAGTATAAGGTGAGTTCCTCTCTACCCTCATTTAATTATGTTCGTATTTTTAGTACCTAGCTGTTATGCAAGGTGAAAATTTTGCTAAACTGCTTCCATTAAGTTACGTAGCATGCAATTAGTTACTTTACTAATTCTGCCAGTTTTGTGCAATGATTTGCCTGGATATGCTGCTGCACAAAACAGCTGCTTAGGTTTAGCAAAATTTTCACCTTGCATAACAGTAGGTGCTAAAAATACAAGCATAATTAAGCAGTTTTATCACTGCAACAGTCACTCCAAAAAGCAAATTTTGTTCCCTTGTGCAGTTTTAACCTGTGATAACCAAGCTAATATTCATTATAGTGGCAGAAATAGTGTTGGATTCAGAGAAGATGACAGTGATGGAGGGAGATAATGAGGTCCAGGAACTGTGCCTCAGCCTCAAAAACTCTGCCATTGATGTTGGTGTTGGCGTGCCTGATGCTCTCTCAGCAGGTACATACATAGCTATGTAGGGGTTGTACACAAAAGAGGAAGTATAATAGACAGTATGAAGAGGTTTTTGTAGCCCTCGGCATGCATGCACAGTGAAGGTTATTAAAGTAGTTTCACTGCACATGTCTATCTGTCAGTCTGTTTCACTTCTATATAGTAGCAACTGCTCAAATTATAGTAAAGAAGCACATGCTGAAATGGAATTGAAGGGCGTGGTCTGGATTGATCACTAGCTGGACCACACCCCTCATACATACCATGCACACCATGCATTGATTTCTGTGGTAGCTACAGCTATTACGTAGGGTGTTTACATTTGCAGATATTGAACTAGAGAAAGTTGTTTTGCTACTATCGGCAAATGGCTCATCAAATTGCATACCGGTAAAAATCATAGCTACCTATTATTATTGCGCAATGAACACCTCTAATTTTGTATGCAGAGTAAACATACATACATACAAGCCATTTAAAACACACCTGTGTCTTACATTATGCATTATCATACATAACTTACTACTCTACTGTACGTGTGTGTGTGTGTGCAGACAGGAGTATATGTAATGTGGGAAATCTCTGGAGATTGCCACGTACAACTATTCAGTCTGTATTATTATGTGTACTTTAACACTTAACCAGCCATAGACACATAAATGTGTCCAGAGCCTCCATAAGTCCATAATAATCTATATGGGGGTTATAATACTAGGCCCTAATACACTATACATCAATTTCTGCTTAATTAAGCAGATCCCCATGGCGTCCAAACGGTTAAGGTTACTATTAAATGGTGGCTACTAATTTTAGCGTTTTTGCACAGATAATTTTTGGCGTATAGCTACTAATTTTAGCAATATTTGTCTTTGTGTACAATAATTTTTGAATGTATGATGATGACAACCAGTCAAAGTTTGTGCGTGTATCCAATTTCATCCTTCTTCATCTTGTGCTCCAGCTGACCCAAAGTAGAACCACAAAGCTCTGTTTTTGTTTACAGACTCCAGACTAAAGCTACAGTAGAGTATAAACACGTGAAACATAACGCACGCAACTAACCGCGCGGAAATATTTACGCGGTATGCGTGCATGTGCACAATACAAATATTGGATGACGGTTAACGTTGGTTAACCGAGGTTAACGAGCCGGCCGCGATGCGCGCATGCGCCTTGGCGAAAGGACACGTGGTCGGGGCAGTTTGCTAGTTTGCTCGTCGCCAGGTGGAAGCTCCTCTCTGGCGTGCTCGTTTTTTCTCTCTTTTGGCATCCTAGTGGCACAGATGGCATCCGACGACGCGGGCACCGCCGAACACCTGGTGGTAATTGACCGCTTAATTGCTGCCAGGTTGGCGGCCGCCTCAGTCCCCGCTTCAGCAGGTGCTCATCCGTCGTAGTCCACGGCCTCATCATCGGCTACGCTCCCCTCTGATTCTGGTAAGCCGGCCTTTCTTTCCCTATAGCTCATGTCCGGCGACCCACGGCCCACCGGGGCCAGAGGTTCCAGGACTGCTAGGCACCCACGACCCGCGGGGCCCCGGGTGCCACCGACCGCACGTGGCGCGGGGCACCGGGATGCTCCCGTTTACGTCTACCTGTTCCCGGGCGGGGACCTGCCCACCAGCCACTGGGCACCTACGGACCGCCCGCGACGCGGGGCACCGGGATGCCCCCGTCTACGTTTGCCTGTTCCCTGGCTGGGAGCTACCCACCGGCCGCTAGGCACCCACGGCCCGCCGGGGTCTGGGGTGCCACGGACTGCCCGTGATGCGGGGCAACAGGACGCCCCCGCTTACGTCTGCCTGTTCCCCGGCGGGGAGCTACCCACCGGCCGCTAGGCACCCACGGCCCGCCGGGGCCCGGAGTGCCACGGACTTCCCGTTGCGCGGGGCACCGTGGCGCCCCTGTCGACGTCTGCCTGCTCCCCGGCGGGGAGGCGGGGAGCTACCCACCGGCCGGTAGGCACCCACGGCCCGCCGGGGCCGCGGGGTTGCTCACGAGATCCGCCCGCTCGCGCTGCGGGGCAACAGGATGTCCCCGCCTACGTCTGCCTGTTCCCAACGGGGAGCTAACCACCGGCCGCTAGGCACCCACGGCCCGCTGGGGCCAGGGGCGAAACGGGCCGCTTGTGACACCGGGCACCGGGATGCCCCCGTCTGTTCCCCGGCGGGGGGCTACCCAGGCCGCTTGGCACTCAAGGCCCCGGGATACCACTGACCGCCCTTGATGCGGGGCACCGGGATGTCCCCGCATACGTGTGCCTGTCCCCGGCGCTATCCCACAGCCTGTCTAGGCGCCCACGGCTGTCTCGACGGAGCCCGGGATGCCACGGACCTGCTCCCGTGAGGCGTGGCACCGGATGCCCTCCCAGTCGACGTCTGCTGTTCCCCAAAAAACTAGGCGGGGAACGCCCACCGAGCCGCTACACCGGATAGCAACGATTGCGGGCGATCGCGCCCAATGGGTCGCGTGCGCTGTTGACGTTTTCCCCCCTTATGCTACCTCGGGCACCACCTGGTCGTGGCCGTTTGTCTCGTCGGGGGGTGGGGCCCCGGCCCCGGCAATACCGTGGCCGGCGGCCGTCACCGCACCATCTACATCTGGCATGGCCCCACCCCCATCTGCAGACCTACCGATTATCGCGGGCTTCGGCTCGGTCCCTCCGAAGTTGGTAAAAAGGATCGTGGGGAAGGAATACGTCGATATATGGGAGCTCCTCCCCGAATCGTGGCAAATCGAGACGGAGGGCTCCTGTTGCCATGCCAAGCGGCCGCGGCGCAACCTGGTCACGGACATAAACGTCTGGACCGAATGCTTCGCTACCATGGCGGCGATATTAGCCACCGCATACCCTGATAAGGCGCCGCACTTCTTTGCCTATCTGAGAACGATCACAAAGGCGAGCAGGACTTTCGAGACCTCAGCCTGGGCCTCGTACGACATGGCCTTCCGCCGCCAAGCAGCCAACCGCGGCTCCCTCGACTGGGGAATCGTCGACGCAGCCCTGTACAATGAGGCGTTTGCGGGGCGGGCGAAACAGATTCCCGCTGTAAATACTGCCTCTCTGACACCCATTCGTCATCCGAATGCCCGCACGCGCCGGCTGACACGGGAGCGTTGGCACGGAACGCTCCACGGGGACCCGGCTCGAGCAGCCGCCCGACGTCGACAGAGATATGCCGACTGTTCAACTCCCCCGGGGGCTCCCGATGCAAGTACCCGTGGTGCAAGTACACACACCTGTGCGCTAAATGCAGGCGCCCGCACCCAGCAGCGGAGTGCAGTGATGGTCGGCGCCAGACGCCCGCGTTGGGCAATTCGGGGCGGCCCGGCACACCCGGCGGCGGCACCCGAGGCCCGCCCTCCTCCACGGCTAATTGAGCTGGCCTGAGAGTTGAACGGACCGGTCGTAGCGTAGGTAGCTAGCTGGCGTCGCCTGGGCCGGGCACGCCTCCCCACTTGTTTTGTTTGTTTGTGTTTCTTTGGGTTTTGAGGTGTTGTGTACCCATTATGATCGGCGCCTTCGTTGCTCTCGGCAGGGTCGTATCCGTATATAAGGGACCTCCTCACACTGGATGCTGCACGGTCGCCGGAGCTACGTGCAGCCCGCCCCGAGCTTCGGGAGATATCATCCCCCCTAGCCGACCGGCTACCCATCTGGCGCCTGGCCCTCGCAGGCCACCCCGACCAAGCCTTCGCCCGCTACGTGCTGAATGGAATTGAGCACGGTTTTCGTATCGGATTCGACCACGCGACTCCCCTGGGCAGGGCACACTCAGCCGTGATTACTGATCGCAGCCGAGCTCGCGGGGGGCCGGATGCTCGGCCCGTTCCTACCGGATCAATTCCCTGGTGTGCACATCAACCGGATGGGGGTGGTCCCGAAAGGGCACGTCCCCGGGAAATGGCGGCTCATAACTGACCTCTCCCATCCCGATGGGGCGAGCGTCAACGACGGCATCCGGTGGGACCTGTGCACGTTGAAGTATACCTCTGTCGAGCGAGTCGTTTCTGCCGCCCGTAGACTCGGCCAGGGTACGCTCCTGGCGAAGCTTGACATAAAGTCGGCCTATCGCCTGGTGCCGGTGCACCCATCAGATCGCTCTCTCCTCGGGGTCCTGTGGGACGGAGCATACTACATAGACGGGGCGCTCCCGTTCGGCCTGCGCTCGGCCCCCAAAATATTTACAGCGGTAGCGGACGCGCTACAGTGGGTTATGGTCACTAGGGGGGTCTCGGCAGTTGACCATTACCTGGACGATTATATTACCATGGGCCCCGCGGGCTCAAACGAGAACCTGACCCGAATTATTGCCGTTTGCGACGAACTGGGGGTGCCGCTAGCGGCCGACAAGCAGGAAGGGCCATCCGACTGCCTCACGTTTCTTGGGATCAAAATTGACACGACTGCCGGTCAGTTGCGCCTTCCAGCCGACAAGTTCGCGCGACTGAAGGAGCTCCTGGTGCAATGGTACCCACGTAGGTCTTGTCGGCGGAGACAGCTGGAGTCCCTCGTCGGCACCCTCCACCACGCGTGCTGCGTCGTAAAACCCGGGAGGGCGTTCCTTCGGCGGATCATCGACTTGCTCCGTTTGCCGAGTGCGGACCCGGAGCCACATCACTAAGTTTGAACGGGAAGTTTCGGGCTGACCTCCAGTGGTGGAGCACGTTCGCGGCTCACTGGAACGGCGTTGCGTTGTTTCCTGTCCGACCGAGCCTTCATTTTCCGTGACGACCGATGCGTCGGGTAGCTGGGGCTGCGGGGGCTGGTCCGGCTCCGCTGGTTCCAGCTAGAGTGGCCTCAGGAGGCACGCGATAGGGGCATATCATTCAAAGAGCTGTTTGCTGGATTGGTTGCGGCAACGGTATGGGGCAACCGCTGGAGGGGCCACCGCGTACGATGGTTCTGCGATAATCAGCCGGCTGTGTTTTCGGTGAATAAACGGTCCTGCCGCGACGGGCCGATGATGAGCCTTATTCGATGCCTGTTCTTTTTGGAGGCGTGGTTTAGTTTTGAGATGGTGGCGGCACATCTCCCGGAAGGGAGAAACACGCTGGCGGACGACTTATCGCGTGATCGCCGGTCTATTTTTCTCTCCAAGGCTCACTGCCCAGACGAGGCTCCAACCGACCTTCCACCGGAGCTGCCCCGGATTGTTGCTCAGCAGGGGGCCTGGACATCTCGTCGCTGGACGGAGCAGTTCTATTCTATAGTAACCGCGGTGTAGCCGACTCCACGAGGGAGGACGTATCAGTCGGGTTTGAGACGCTACCTCTCATTTTGCTATGCGTTCGGGGTTTCCGCCCATTTCCTGTATCTGAGACGCGATTATGCTATTCGTGACTTCATTGGCGCAGGAGGCATGGCACCGTCAACGATAAGGACGTACTAGCGGCTGTGCGGCACGCCC